ATTTTGGTGTTGCCAACACATCGGAAGTTGGTGGAGACGCACCAGGGAGAAGTGGAGGTTGGTGTTAGAACTGGGCGGATTCGGACGACTCCGGAGTGGAATCGGAGACTTAGCGTGGAAGGACCTCGGCCTCAGCGACTCAGGCGGAGTGCTGTGCCATTGCTGGTTGTCCTAGGGGTCCCTAATTTCGGATCTAGCAGAGGGAAAGTCTCTTGGGGGGAATTCATGTCGATTTCGGACTGAGGTTACAAGTTACTAGGTACATTGTATATAAGGAGGGGTCCGGAATCAAAAGGAACAAGGGTAGGACAAAAGGAGACAAAGGGAGATGGAAAGAGGAACAACACCGAGGGTCAAGTGTTTGACTCAATGGTGTTTCCCAAAGGAGGAATGAAGGGCCAAGGCCCAAGGAGGAAGGAAGGAGGATGGGAGTCGGGAATGGCTAGCTGACTGAACAGAAGGAAGCAGCAGCCCAAATAGGAATGAGGGAGAATAGCGGAATTGAAATGGACAATGCAATAGTTGCAAGGTCCGAGGTAAGTCCGGAAAGTCCGAACTCGGAAGTTAAACTCCGGAATATTGGCAAATGTAATTAAATGGAATGAGCTAACCAATACAATGGGTATAAGCGGAGGTGGGGTCAAAGTCCGAGGTCAGAGCTAAGACCGGAGGTTCCGGAGACAGAGATGCGAACGGGATTCCAGAGCAGAGGTCCGGAGTCGGGAGCATAGGTTTTGCATACTCGTCTGGAAGGTGTCGAGGTTGGGGTCGGACCCGGAATGTTCCGGAGTCGGACCGAAGGTGGTGTCCAGGCCGGAGGTGGGATAACCTCTTGGGAGTCGGCAAGGAGAAAGTGACGGAAGGGAAGTAGGGCTCCGGAAGTCGGAGTTCGGAGTTCCAGGAGCCCGGAGCGGAGGTCGGGATTGTATGGATATGACAGACAGCTCCCCCTGACATGATGAATAGGTTACCAGAAATAGATTTCCGGTCCTTTTGTTCTGCCCAATCCATGTCTGCATACCCAATTGCTATTAATCTGGAATCCGATTTTGAATAGGTAATACCGTGATTGATTCTCCCCTTTAGATATCAAAAAATCCATTTGACTCCAGAAATTTGTTCTGGACCATAAGAATTGTTGAATTGTGCAAAATGATGAATGGTAAAGGCAATATCTGGGCACATGCATAATGTGGCCCACATAAGCAATCCAATCATTGTTGAATAGGGGTAATCTGGGCATGGGCCTGAGAACTTTTCATAGGCCTGTTTTGGGTGCATTGGGGTAGGCGCTGGATTGGCATCAGCATGTTCAATTATGTTGTGAATGTATTGTTCTTGCAAGATTGAGATTGAATTGTTGCTCCGGTCTCAGGAAATTTTAATCCCAACAAAGTGATTCAATTCTCCAAGATTGTGGGTGTCAAATTTGGACTTGAGTTTATTTTTAATGAATTCAATATGATCTGCAGGGGCAAATATGGTGGAGTTGTTGACGTGGAAGGTGTCAGAACACAGCAAAAGGGAACGAGCATGTCTGGACCTTTCCCCAGAAGGGAGGCTGGAGGTAGAGGATGAGCGGAGGGACTGTGGCCTCAGTGACTCAGAGGGGAGCACTGTGCCAACATTCGATAACGCTAGTGTTGGGTCCTTAACTTCAGAACGGGAGGGTGCAAACTCTGGGGGGAATCTAGTCGTCGATTTTGCACTGAAGTGCCATCAACTACAGTACATGACTGTCAGGGCACACCTGTCTGACCCAGGTCCACCCGGGTCCACCCAGCCACACCTCACCTGCTTGGAGTTCAATATTTTCTCCACCTCATATTCCTCCTTTCCATCTATGAGTTCTGGACCTGGGCAGGGGTCGGGAGGTCGTTCTGCAATCTTGTCCGGGTGATGTGGTCTGATGTTTGTCACAGACATGACTGGGTGGACTCCCTTTTGTCATGCAGTGAGTTGAAGTTTAACAGCGGCTGGGGAGACGACTTTAATAATCTTGAAGGGGCCTAGCCATTTGTGGTCCAGCTTCTTGGTTGAGCGGTCCATCGTGTAATTCTGGGCGCTGAGCCAGACCTGGTCACCTTCTTGGTACTTGGGGGCTGCCTCACGGTCCCGGTTGTAATAGCAGGCCATCTCATCCGCTGCATGTTCCAGCGCTGCTTTCGCCTCCTCCTGCATTTTCATCATCCTAGATGAGAAGGCGTCTGCAGCTTCCACTTCAGAGGTGCATGTGGGTTCTGTCCCCATCCTGGGGTGCTGCCTGGTGTCGAGTTTGAAGGGGGTCCGGCAGGTGGAGGAGTGGACACAGTTGTTGTGGGCAAACTCTGCCAAGGGGAGCCAGTCTGCCCAGTCATCCTGGCAGTGGTTGATGAATATCCGGAGGTAGGCCTCGATCTCCTGGTTAACTCGCTCTGTCTGTCCATCCGTCTGGGGGTGGTAGGGTGTCGAGGGGGTCAGCTTCACTCCTAGGAGGTCCATGAGTTCTCTTGAGAAGTGGGAGACAAAGGCGCTCCCTCTGTCGCTGAGGATTTCTTCCGGGAGCCCATGGTGTTTCCAGACATGGTCCAGGAAGAGCCGCACAATACCAGCTGAGTCCACTGATGTCATGGTGGGGATCGCATGGATGCGTTTGGACAGGCAGTCCACTACAACTAGGATGGCATTGTAGCCCTTCGACTCCGGGAGTTCTCCCACCATGTCTACCGAGATCACCTGCCAGTGGTGGGTAGGGATCTTGTTTGGGGTGAGCTTCCCAACCTTGTGTGTGGGGAAGGGCTTGATGCAGTTGCAGGTGTCACACCCACATATGTATCGCCCGACATACTCTGCCATCCGGGGCCACCAGTAGTCGCGGGAGATGAGTTCCAGGGTTTTCCATCACCCTGGGTGTCCTGTCACCTGTGCATCGTGGTGTAGTCATACCAGATCATGGCAGAGTTGAGGGTCCTTTGGGATGTACACCCTCCCCCGGTAGAGAACCAGCTCTCCTTGCTTCTCCCACTCGTCCGACCTAAGCGTTCCCTCTCTGTAAGGAGTGGTAACCCCACCCCTTATTTCCCATTACATCATTGTATAATTGTCTTGTAATAAACATGTATATACAAAGTACATACAATAGTGTGGGAAAGTGGAAAGAGCAACTTAGCCTTTCCTCCCATACTGTTGCAAATAATAACTTCATACAAGTTACTTTTGTTGGCAGCCTGAGGAACTAGGCTAACCAGGGTTGGCACCTACACCAACCCCTTACACTCTCCTAGTTCTCACATAGCTTTCACCACCCTCTCATCATGGTCCTTTGCCCCATGTATCCTCTCCAGTATACCTGCCTCTTCACCCTCCACTGAGATCGCCTCCATTGCCCAGGCTTCGAACCAGGCCGGTTGAAGGAGTGCGAGTCGGAACATTCGGAGACTCCAGATTTGCTCCGACCTCCCGACGGATCTCTGGCATCGTGTGACATACCTCTAAAACACTCCTCCTCCCATTTCATTTAGTGGAGCCACCCAACATCCTTTGGATATGTAACTCCGGCTTCGGAGCTCCCTGCATCCTCTGGTGATCCCGCTCACATCATCATAAATTAGTCATCATCCATTGGTAGTACAACTGTTGTCTTCTTTCCAAAGTCGGCTAACTTCCCTTACTCATTTCTCGTTCCCATTCTATCCTCTGGCCTTCTACTCCGCCCTCCTTGACCTGACACCTTGGTTACCCATTAAGGATATCGTTTGGGACCATTCAGTACCTTTTGGTGTTTGTCATTATCACTCGGACTTTGACTAAAGTCCTCCTCTTCCTCCCTCTATATATACCTGTAGATTAGAACCCTTTGTACCTCAGTTCTAATCTTGACTAAAAGTTACCCCAAGTCCCTCTATGAGTGAATCCCGACCTCTTCCTACAAGATACCTCAGACACATGAAATATAAGGACTAACTGAGACGTAATGGAGGCACAGCGCTCCCTCCGAGTCGCTGAGGCCGTGTCCTTCTTAGAGCCTCTTGTACCACCCAGCAGACCTGGGCTTCCTGGAGAAGCTTCGGTTCACTACCGGAGCTCTCGGACCCCCTCTAGTTGAGCCCTGCCTGCATTCAGACTCATGCACATTAGCCTTGTTCGGGGTTTTTGACACTGTTAGTACACCCAGCCTCAGATCTCCTCCTGCTCTCCCTTCAACGGCTATGCAGCCACCTCCGTCTGTGAGCAGAACGGCTCAGGTTGGGTTCCCCGGAACCCATCCCTGTAACAGTGGCCATATAGCAGGAGGTTTAGGAAAATAATCGGTAATCTATTGTGCTGTCGGAGCAGTGTTGAAGTTGTGGTACAGTTGTGTCTGTCTCATTCCGGTGTGAGGGGGAATGTATGGGCAGACCAACTGGCGAAGTTGTTTGCTTTGTAATTTTATTATAATCTGCACATAAATGGTTTCTTGCTGACAAGATGAATGCGATAATGTATCATACAAAGCGTTGATGATTCACAATTCAGTGGTTAATTCTTCTACTGTTTACATGGTGGACATCGCTGGTTATCTACATTGGGGGCCCCCAAGGGGCCACCTCTACACCGTGTTAGTTACTGATTTAGATTGGGGGCCCCCAGACCCCCGCGGTCATTGTCAAATTGGTCGGGGGCCCTTGGGGGGCCCCCACAGTAGGGGACCCCTTAGGGTATGTATGGCAACGCAAAATCGAGGCCTGGATCCTGGTTGATTAGGCTGAAAATGGGGGTGTAAGGAACAATTCCCCAAACCTCACTTTCGCCACCAACAATCAATCCCGTCCTCGCCACTCCGTCGTCGGAACCGATTGTTGATATTCCAACACAGTCTTATGTCTATCTCCCTCCTAGCCTGGCTGCCGTACTCGAACAGTGAGTGGCATGCATGAGTATTGTGCAGGAGAGAAGAAATTACTTTAGTAGAGGCTGGGATCATAAGATAGTAAGAAATAACGATATAAATAAATGGTGGGGAAGTGACATGTGACGGTGTCCAAAATATTTCTTTTGGCTCCCTACGCTGATCCCCATGGCGAACATTCAGACTTCAGTGCTCGACGCGGTTAAACCGCCATCGTACCATTCCCTGCGGGTCGCTGCGTTCTCGTTCGCCTTGTCATCATGGGTTGAGGGTTATTCCATGTTACGATACTCTGTTTCTGCTGCATCGGCTCCAGAAACACAATTATTGGCGATCTTGAATGCCGTGGATAGCGATGAGGGCGAAGGCGAAGCTAGCTCCGGGTATTGGTTCTCCCAATGGTTACATCGAAAAGGTAGAAGAATGGATGACGTTGAAAGACGGGCTTTAGGCATCATTGACATCACGGTATATTCTCACAGTGCCGCTCATGTATGGAAATATACTAACATGATGTACAGACCGCCGTGGGCGCCCTTCGTTCCCTACAGAGCAAACCCGTATTGCCATTCCTCCTCACTCCTCTATTGACCACTATTCCGTTACCAAGGCCTTCCGACATGCGAAATTGCCGTTGGACCAGAGTTCTTTTATTGTGCTTCCTCCTCTGCTTATTGAGGGAGCTCGAAAGGGTGATTGTTGCGTGCTGCGTGGCTTATTACCGTAAATACCGGGACGCCAAGGATGGCGTATATTCAGGCCCCGTCATCGTCAGAGGTATTCGACTTCCGAGGCCGCCCCCATCATCAAGTTCAATATACGATGATGCTGAAGACCAGCTGGACTGCATGATTTGTTCTGGGCAGAATGACATGTCACAGTCTGTCACAAGTCTTTCGTCCGTGATGAGTGATTCAGAAGCACAAGGACCACCACCGTCGACGACCGTGTCTATGACTGCCGGAGAGAACCTCGGCCCGCTCGAGGCATTTTGTACTGTTGCCCCAACGAAACATGTCGCCCATCGTGAATGCTTTCTGAGGTGGCACTCAGCATACCAAGCGCAAAGTCGACCTAGGATCCCTGATATAGTGATGCTAACTTCGAGAGCGCTCTCCACTGCAAGAGACGCCCGGGGGGGCTCGAATATACCAGATGAGATGGACATGAGACGCGCTCGGGCACTCCTCCGTTCTGTTGGATTTCTGTACCTTATAGGGATGCTGCGGCCCAATACGGGTTCCTCGACTTTTTCACCTCCTCGCTCGCTATCCCCCCTCTCCCCTCTCCTCGCTTCGGAACGCGGGGATGCGACGTCGCCATTTATCCCTACGTTTACTCTTCACCCCCATCAATCGACCAAGGGCCCATCCACATCCTTAGATCCTGCGTGGTCAGGACAGCCAAGTTCCTCTCGCGCTCGCCTCAACTCACGGCAAAACTCCTCGTCAACGCAAGATCATATCCCGCCACGCTGCCTTGCGACCCTCCGAACGGAATGTCCGCCATGCCCTGGCTGCCGCTCAGCGGTTGAGATGCACTTCTGTGCTGTCTCTCACATGCGTGATGATAACCCCTCTCAACGGCATAAAGGATGGATAACTCCTGGATCCCCCTTATCCCGATTCATTTGCCACTGTCGTACGGCTATGAGGCACTTTGCACATGAAGCAAGTGCCTTAATTACTGGGAGGACTATTGGCGCGTCACTGAGCACACAACTCTCCTTCTTGTTGACGATATGGTCCATGACACGAGCAAGGGATAAGACAATTAAGCCTCGAGAAGTGCGGTAACTCGCTGGCGCTCGCACTACCCAACGTCCCAGCGCGCTGCTTTGATTCATTGGGAAGGGGCTTGGAGAATTGCCACTGTGCACGGAAGGTGCACCGACCCGAAATATTATGCGGGGGAAACTCGTCCCGACGCGTCGGCAAACTAGCGAACCACGAGCAGTAACGTTAGTGCATTTCAAACAGTGGTCAAGTTCAGAAAGTCTCATTGTGAAGAGACTGTCGAAAACAGAAGGTATTTTGGACCGGTATAACAAATTCGAGTTGAGCGCATCAACCTCAATCATCGCTTGATCGCACAATTTCAATAATATTGTGTAGATGTACAATACGCGCCTAAAGTGCGGTGTGGCGGTTCATTCAATTGAGGTGCTTGTGCTTGCCCTGTGCTTGCTCATATTACCTGTTTGATGACAGATTGGTAGTAATACAAGAATTTTGTGTCAAAGCCAGATAATGTATTCGGCAGGAAAATGATATATATCCTAACTGTTGACCTTCTATTCCAATAGCACCCGCCCATGTGATATGGAGAACCACCTTTGGATGAATGACACAGGCGGGTCTCGTGATGATCCAAAATCAATACAAGCGATTGTATTGGCAGTGAGTTGCCTCATGTTGGATCATCACGAGACCCACCTGTGTCATTCATCCAAATTAGGTGTGCGGTTTTTTCTGTAAAAGGAAATGATATCACCTCTGGGGTGTTGAAGTCACGAGTCACCGGAATCTTCCGGGGCATTCGTGTGGGACATTGCTTGGACAGGGCACGAAAGTTATAGGAGGTTCTTCTGAGCAATGGCCTGGGACGAACATCATTGCCAAGTTGAGTTATCCTCCAGCATCAAGAGTATCAGAGTATGATATTGTGGAGCATGCTGTGGAGAAGGCAAGAGAGGCAGGAAAGGAAGGAAAGCTGGACATGTCGCTGCATCTACCAAATATCCTGCATCGGGTGGATATGAAAGGACGTGTTCAAGAACGCCTTTCACAGCTTCTCGGGAACAAGTATGAGATGCATGTTCTGAGAGTGATGGTGCAAGAACATCTATTCCTGGTCACAATGTTGACCCTTCCTCACTTGGTGTGCTCTGTGTATTACAGTGTGATCAAATGTAAGTAAGAGAATTCCTGTTGAGTCTGTGCTTGTGTATGCGCGCTTGCACAACAGTTTATTTTATGTATATTATCATTGTAATACATTTCATGTATGTATAAATATGCACAGACATGCATTGAGCAAATTCCTAGCTTACCTCTGGTCTCGCAAGTATAACCGCTGAAGTAAGTGGATTGCCTTATCAGGAATCCCTACATTACAACAGGTTATGAGCCCAGCCTAAGGGTCATACCTAGTTAACTCTATATACTCGGATCTTCTCAATAAAGTTATCTAACTTCTCAAATATTCATTACCATGGCCTCAACTAAAGAACATCAGGAAACCCCCAAGGCCAATTGAAGTGGTTGAGATCATTTCAACCTCACTAATTCTCACTATGACACTTTTGTTCAGCTGTGTCTAACTGACCCTAACTCACGCTTAGAGTGACGTGTTAGTTTTATATTAGCTAACAACTAATATTTGCTTTTATCTTTTGGAGCAAACGAACCAACCACTGGTGAGGAGAATTATTTCTACCTGAGGTTTGAGAGGGGGCAGAAGCGGTGGCCTTTTATGCTTTTCAGAGACCTCTCTACTCCCATGCCTCACACTAGTTACATGTGCTACATTTGTATTATAGATAGTTCTAGAATGATATAGGGGCTTGGGCTGTGTAAGCTTAATAATGGACTTAGGACATGACTCAGCAATAAGTAATTCATTTCTTTGTCTTTTGGGCCGATCTTAGCGGGATCTTGTAGCGCTGAAGCTATGCTCTACACCGCCCTAATTATGAACGGTTATCTTTAGAAATGACTTGGCTATAAAGGAACTTTCTAGACTGTTCTCTAATTGACCCCTTTTTTGTGAAGCCGCATCATTACTAATGTTCTAGAGCCTTCCCAATTAATTAACTGATCCGCGGACTTCTGAATCACTTCATGCTTATGATCCGAGATCCAGATCATCAATCATTCCTTTGTTCCGATTTATTTGAGCTTAAAATCAAAAGGTTTTGATGAATCATGGGAAAATATACAAGATCCGGTTTTTTAGCATTTTCTCCTCTTCTGATGCGATCAAAAACTGTCCGTCCGCGCCGGGGAATACTCTATCATATGGTATTCGGTCCGCCAGACTTCCGGGCGCCAATATATTTCCCTTGAGTCACATTACTTTTTGTAAGAATTAGCAAATAAATATATATGAATTATAAGGTGTTTCGCCGTTTGAGCAATATCTCCGTCAGTTTTGAAGCTTTTAGAATGAAACAAAACCGTGGATAAAGTTAAGAAACAGTTCTTCCAGATGGTAAAAAGATTACAGTCAAAAGTTTACTGGTTCCCGAGATATTCACATTTCTTTCCCAATGTTCCTTCTTATTCTGCTGTCTATGTGCTATTTTCTTGTTGTAGGGATATATTCTTTGAATATTACACCTATGCCAGGTTCTAGGCATGCTTGTAGTAGATTAAATCTCATGCTACATGGGTGTAGATAATTTATAATGATCTTCTAATGTCTGTCCAGTCTCATAAAGATCATGAGATCTGTTAAACGTCTGAACTTGTCACCTGTTCGTTGACTATTCTGATAGATCATTGTTTTATTCTTTGAATATTATTTCTCCTACAGCACCCACCAGGAACAGTGTTTGGCAATCCATCCTCAGACCCCAAATGCAGGGATACCCATACGACTCAATGGGTGAGCAGCAAACTGATCCATAATTTGAACGATTTCAACTACTTCGAAAACCGCTTCATCGTGTGTCTGCAACGTTCTTGCGGTGGCTCCATGCTCAGTTTCACGATGATCATCGTGTTGTCCTCGCACATGGTGATTTCCATCCTCACAATATCATTGTGCAGTGCAAGAGGGAGGGCGTCATAGTAATGGGCATCATGGACTGGGAGATGGGTGGCTGGTATCCCAAGTACTGGGAAGCAGTGAAAGCTTTAAATTGTCATGCCTTGGATGATGACAGTGACTGGTGGCTTTCCCTTCCCTCCAAATTGAATGGATACACAGCTGAAATTGCGCTAGATTTCCTTGTGGAACATGTAATCACATCAGCAAATTCCCTCAATCAAAATCGGGCACTTCAAATGGATTTGATTGGATCTAAACTGTCTGAAGTGAGCAAACCAACTGATTGGCTTTAATAAAGGTCTCTCAATTCATCCACTTCGTAATCAAGCTCTCACTTTGAAGCACTAACATGCGGGGTGGTTCTCCTAGTTCTCCTAGCTTTGCTTGACTCATATTCATGATTCCTGCACTCCCGACACTTCTAATGCTTCTAAGCTTCATTACACACAATCCCTGCACTTCTGGTGCTTCCAGTACTTTGTGCCTCATGGGTTTTTAAGCTTGTGACACCCATCCTAGTCCAGATGAACATATATATATATTTGTTTTTCTGTTGGTCTGGAAGTCACATTCAAAAGAGGAAAGTGCGAGAACATGGGAAAGGACAAGGTAGGAAAGCACAAGAAAATAAGAAAATGGAAAGGCGCAAGACAGCAGGAAATAATCGAGGGAGGGGAATCAAGAGAATGAAATCAAGACCGTCAAAATTCTGCCAAAATGGTCACTATGTCAATCCCACCCACTCTCACAAATCATCGATGTCACCATCAGTATCAAGTATCAGCAATGGCACATTGTGTGATCCATCTTCACGATACTCATCACTAAAGGTCATGGAAGAGTTCAAATGAGATGTAGATACAGAAAGAACAGAAATACTCACAGGACATCTGATACAAATTTTTCGGCGACTTTTTCCCAAGCAGAATCACCAAATTCTGAAACCCAGCCATTAATCCAATCTGTGTATATCTTGAACCAGTGCTCATATTTGTTGTCCAACTTGAGCTTGGAGTTGTATTCTCCAGTGTCAACATAACAGTCAAGTATGTGGCGGATCTAGAACAAGGTCATGATCAGTAAGATGAATCCAATAGGAAAGTTTCTCACAATTGTGCCAGTGTCAGGGGACGACTCCCGGGTCCCCATGACCCTCCCCTATGGTCCACAGCCTGTGGTGTAACCAGCCCTGTCCAGGGCACAACTACTGTGGGTAAGGAGATGAATAGATAAAGGCAATGTAGAATACACTTGCCTACTGTGGTAAGGAGATGAGAAGGAAGCTAACTTCTCATCTTCCCACAGTGGCCACAATATCAGCAAAACTTCTGGGGATACCCGGAAGTCACATGAAGGGGTAGGAACCGGGCCCGGAGCATGCGGCGCACAGAGCGTGCACGCATGCAGGAAGTGCAGCAGGTGGAAGCGGGTCCGGACGTGGGTCCGGGTCCGGGCTAGTCAGGGTGTGTGCCCTGACAGCCAGCAAAGGCTAAAACCATAGTTGGGAAGGAAGCTACAAGTTGGGGGACAATCCAAGTTGAGAATACATTCGGAGCAGGTAGGAGCTTGAATGTTTCCGAAAGGACAACTTTCAGTGCTGGGTGACCAAATGCACAATGATGAGCCTAGATGCAAATTGGATACTTAAATGAAGGGGTTAGCCATGAATGTAACAGACCTTTTTGCCTGCAGGGTGAAACTCATGGAAGAAGAAGTTGTTCTCCCCTTCCAGGGTGTCAGGGCATGCCGCTCCATGCTGCACTGCACCCTCCTGTCTTTCCTCTTTCCCTTTCTTCCTTCCTTTCTTTCTTTATATGGATGACCTCTCCTCTTACCCATGTAGCACGGACGTGTCCGATGCCGAGTACTCCATGTGGGTACTGTGCTGCCAGAATTTTGAAGGAGAGAACGAAGGAAGGTCAGTTGGGAGGTTCAAATGAGACCACCACCAAGCTGTTCCCTGGTTCTTTAGTTAGGATGGGGAAGTGTACTAGTAATATTTGTTGTAATTATAGTACCAATCCAAGCATTTTGGCTAATTCTATTTTATGGGTTAGTCCAAAAGTTTCTGAGAATTGACTTACAGATAAACAAAGCCCTGCGGAGCTGTTCCTCTATTGTAATTTCTCAATTTGTCTGGGTGTAATTCTGTGTAGGATCATTTAATTTGGATTTTAACTTGAATTAAATCTTCTACTTGGTGAAGTTTCAAAGATTCTACTCAGTTAATGGGTTTAGATTGTGTCTGAAGTGTCCCTTGAGTTTGTTTTATTTTTGTCTTATTTTATTGCTTGTTTCAACAGTAGTGTTAGAACTGGGTGAGGGCGGACGATTCCGGAGGGGAACTGGAGACTTAGCAAGGAGGGACCTTGGCCTCAGTGACTCAAGCGGAGCGCTGTGCCATTGCTGTTTGTCCATTTGGTCCTTAATTTCATAGGAGGTGAGCAGGAAGTCTCTAGGGGCATTTCAGGTCGATTTTAGACTAAGGCCTAAAACGAGTATGTACAGGCGCCGATATATATAATGGGAGGGCGAAAGCACAAGGAAACAAAGGGGATCCGAATCGGAACGAAGGCGTCCGAACGGGAACAAAGGGAAGACCGAAGCGGAGCGGTACCGAAGGTCATAAGGCAGAACCTGTGGTATGTCCGAAAGGAGGTAAGGAGGGCGAGGCCCAGAGGGGCAGGAGGATGAGGGGAAGTGGGGATGATGACTAACTGGCTAGAATGGGAAGAAGCAGCAGTCCAAATAGGGATGAGGGGAAAACGCAAGAGATACATTACAAGCAGCGAAAGTGCCAAAGGTGATCCGTGGAGCTCGAAGGTTGCAGAGCTTACGGAGGCGGGGTTGAAAGTCCGAGGAATATTGGCAATGGTGTTTACGTAGTATGAGGTCACCAATGCAATGGACTAAGGCCGAGGTGGAGTCAAAGTCCGAGGTAGGAGGTATGATGGAGGCTCGGAGCAAGGGTACAAGCGGTGTCCGAGTATGAAGTATGGGACAGCAGCGGAAGGTCGTAACTTGGCGGGGATCGACAGAAGAGGGCCAGAGGGAAGAGAGAGGAAAGAGGGGAGAGTGGCAGAAAGGAGAGTTGTCAGGTCCGAAGGTGAGTATCAGAGTGGACAGGAGAAGGGTAGGAGGATGACGGAAGGGTGGAGGAGTTGGAGGAGGGTGGCGAGAGGAGTGGTGTTCAGTCTGAGGTGAGTATCGGAGCGGACGGAGATAGGATAGGAGAGGGATGGAGAAGTGGAGGTGGCATGGGGGGTGAGAGGAGGTGTGGTGTCAGGACCGAGGGTGAATATCGGAACGGACAGTGGTAGGGTAGGACTCCGGAGGTGGTGAAGAAGGAGGTCCAGGAGTCGGGTCAGGATCGGATATGCACGGATATGACATATCATATTGTTGTGTTGACTTGCTCCAGCCATACAGGATGACAGTGGGATTAAGCTTGTGCTCAATCCACATCATAGGCGTATCCCAATTTCCAAGGCATCAAATTTGTTTGGGGTGCCTGACTTTGGTTCCTCTATATGTTGGATGTTGGATAATGGAGATGATGGATCTGAAAACAGTCCCCAATGGACATATAATGACTTGTCCATTCCGGACTCGTACGAGTTCATCAATATCTGGCATTCATTTCAACAGGCAGTCCCACCCCATGAGTTTGCAGAGGAGTATGTTACAATCCATGCCAGGCCTCTGCTGGTTGGGGGTGAATCTCGTTACATGCCTGTCATGGTGCTGATGGATGAAAATGCACGTGGAATCCATCGTGAGTGACACGCTTTGCAGGTTTTCTGGTACTTACAACCTTCTGTCATCCAGGCTACCATCCAGCTGAACTTCATACCATCTTCCGAAGAAGATATTCAGAGCAGAGAGTTGATCATGATGCCCCCATTTTGGCGCTTGTCCTGATCATGACACGCAACTCTTCATGGTCCATAAAGAACTTGATATGCACAATCAGCGTCGATCTGGTGTCATTGAGCTTAGTCACATCAAGTTTGTATGCCCCCTTGCACCCCAGATCGGGGGTGAGTGTCCTGCTGGGCTAACTGGCAGAACTTGTTTTAACACTGTCTGCTCATACTATATCAATGCCTATTCTAGCCAATCCAACTATAAAAGACTTTCTTCACATAGAAGTTTGTAGCTTGCTCAGCAGAAAATTTCATCATTTTTAATAGCCAACGCTGTGCTTTCCATTCACTTGAGTTCACCCTTCTGCCTGGCAGCCAAACTTCCATGCTCAACCCATCCCAGCTCATTGAATCTGTTGACTCAAGTCAGCTGCCCCATTTCCTCAACGCTGTCCTCACTTCAGCATCTGCTCAGCATCTACCAGCTGTGGATGGCTGCCCAGTATCTGGCCCCCATCAGTGGACAGAATTGCTTCCTGTTGAGTATCAAATTTGCAGCTCTGGTTCCAATTTCTTTTTAAATCCCTCCAATAGTATGACACTGTTGCCATCATTCAAGGCTCGCTCCCACTGGCTTCTTTCCCTCCCATACGACTATATTATCCACCCCCCCTCCTTGTAGACACAAATGCCATATTCCTTCCTTGCATCTGATAGAGTCACTTTGTACTCTGAACCCAGATCCTACTTCCAGCACTGCATTGCATGTTTTTGTCCTGACTTCCTACTTTCGGAGAGCCTGCCACCTAAACACATTCCATTACACTTGTGTGTCCAGTAAGAACGTGATGCTTGGTGTTCCCCAGTTGGAGAACATGGCTACCAATATCAAAATATTGAGGCATGTTCACTCACTGTGTACCTGGAAGCCCACACTTCTTGCGATGCCCTGGAGGCGAGAACCAGACCGAACTCACTCATACTCCTCTTTGGATCGTCACGGCATCAACTAGGATTATTTTATCTCGATCCATCAACTACTGTCATCGAAGAAGGCACAGGTTGCAGCAAACTTGGGAGTGATAGACATCTCGACGATGTAAAGGAAAGGGGGAAATGTCGTCCTGAGATTATACAAACCCGCTGTGCCAGCAATATCGCTTGAATTGGCATCTGCTTCCACCGATCAGCTTCCCTTCGATCACATTGACTACTATGCAATCTAGTCATTGTGTGGACTCCTGCCTGTTCTTGGGCTTCTTGGGCATGTGAAGTAGGGGTGATCTGGCTACATTTTCAGTGCCGCCAAGAAGTTCCCTACCATTGGAGTTCTGATGCCAAGGAAGCCGTTCAACTGGGGGATGGTGAGGAACTACTCCTGTCTGGGATTGATCATCTTTTGCACATGAACTCACGATTTTTTGCAAGGACAAGATGAAGTTATCAGGTATCTCTGTACATGAACTTGAACACGTTGTGTCTCAAGAAAACTCTCATTCCTGCTGCGTTATTGGACTATTAATCAGTGGGATTCAGCTCATACCAATTTGGAGGCACTTAAACACATCACACAGGGCCACACTCTCGCGCTGTTTGTGGAGACAAGCCGACATGGAATCAACTATTGAAGGTATTATGAGTTGGCCCAACAGCTTCATTTGGAAGGTAAAGCACATGGAGGTGAGCGCTTGGGAGACCTCAAGGCCCAGTTGCCTGGATGCTGTTCAAGCAATAGCATTCCATCCGGCTGAACTGAGTCTCACACAGGGGGAGATGACAACACAATCAAAATATGGCACCTGGGGCCCTGCCCTGGTTGCAATCATCCTCGTAAGTACCATGCCTCTACTACATTGACTACTATACGATCCAGACACTGTTGTGTGGAGCCCACCTGCTCCACGGCACAGAGACGCCAATGGGGTAGTGAGCCGGCTGCTTCGTTAGCACCAGAAGTCCCCTACCGTTGGTGTTCCCATGTCAAAGAATGGAAGATGGCAAAAAGCCAGTAACTTGCAAAAAGTGTAATGGCAGTTCATGAACCGTCATGGAAGTCATGACATTTCATGAATGGTCACCAAACTTCATGAAGCAGCATGAAGTGTCATACACAGTCATGCTGGTTCATGACAAACCATCATGGAATTTCATGAGATGTCATGAACCTGCATGGGGGGTCATGATTGCTCATGACTTAAGTGGTTCCAGGCAGGTTTTGAGTGGTTACATGCCTGTCTATGAAGTGTCATGAGCCTTCATAAAGGATCATGGACCCTCATGGACCTTCATGAATCACTATGAGTCTTCCCAAGAATCATTGTGGTTGATCATAAATTAGGATTGTTGGTACAACAATGACAGTTGGGGGCATAATGGTTAATTACATGTTACCCTTAAGTTGAAAGTGATATGAAAGCATCACACAAGAGGGGGTTGCTCTAGTTGATTTCAGACTAAGGTCCCTGAAAGCATTTACAAGGTATAAATAAGGGAGAGAAATCATGGGAAGGGCCAGTCAGTCCAGTGCAGAAATGAGTGGGGATTATCAAAGACAAGAACCTGTCAGAGACCTGGTCGAGATGAAGGAGTGTCTCCGTGGCGGAGGGCTTTGGCCTCAGCAACTTGTGCCAGGAGCGCTGTGCCAAGTAACACGTCCGTGCCCTAACTTACTAAACTGGCAACCAGAACTGAAGAGGGTAAACTCTAGTCAATTTTATTACTGGAGTGTAACCTATGTACAAGTTAAGTATATATAGTTACAGCGAGGGCGGGTCCACAAATGGCAGAGCCGAGCCGAGCCGAGCTGAGCTAACGGGGTTAGACATTAGCGATTGAATATTACCGATGAGTCGGGTTATGGGGTTAACGGAAAGGCAGGCGATAACCCAGAAACGGAAAGGAGGGATGGGCCCAAAGGTGGGCTTTGCAGGGCAAGCAAGTGTATTGTCCAGTGGAGGTGGGAGTGTGCTAGCGGACGTTGGAGCTGTCTGGAAGCCTTCGGGGCTCCGTACTTAGGGAGGCATAGGTAATAAATTGAAAGGAGGGGGTGGTGACCATCGAGGAGTACCGAGGGGATTGCAGAATATGGGAGCTCCGAGGTTAGTGAAGAAGGAGTGGAAGTAGACCAGAGGGATCGGAGGGATCGGAAGTCGATGGCTGGGGATGGATATGACAGAACCCAGGTGAAGAATGAATAAGTAAAATATTGACACTTGATCTGCTACTATATTGGCACCCAGGTTGTCAGTTGCCTCCCTACTTTGCCTCTTTGTTTAATTGTTCATTCCACTCCCATTCATTCTCTCTGTCTCCCCGGTTCTCATCCCTCATTTAGTTTGTCATGTTCACCACTCTGCCTCCCATTCAGGTGCCAGACTGACCAGCCCCTCTTCTGTTCCCCCTTTCATATTTATGCATTGCAGATAGTATACTACTTATGTACCCCAGTTTGAATGTCAACTAGAATACCTCCCAAGTCCTCTTGTCCATAGTTGTCAGGGACAGCTCCGAAAGTGGCAAAGTCCCAGCACAGGGGACTCGATGGGACAAGTAGTGGCTATGCATAGCAGTGGTCCTGTCATGGGGTGAGCATCCCTGACCACTTAGTCTGAAGTGAGAAGAAGGCTGCTTCTTCTGTTCCCACCCCAGGTGCTGTTATATACATGTGGCTGAGGTCACATGGAAGGAGCCATGTCATCTCTGCACACAGCTGCACCCCTCTGGGTGTCTCTGTGGGAAATCCTGGGGGTGGCCACTGTGTGGGTGGGAATGTGTGCAGTGGGTGCAGCAATAGGGGCAGTGGCATTAGGGTGTAGTGGTACAGGAGGGGCACACTGGTGGTACATAGAGAAAGAGGAAGTCAACCATAGAACAGAAATAGAGAGAAAGAGGAAAACGGAAAGGTGAGGGGGAAGGTGAGATAGGAGGAGCAAGAAGCGATGGCAGGGGAAGTGGAGTAGGGTGGCACGGTGTGGCGTGGGGTCAGGCAGGGTATGCCCTGACAATAGTTCGCCTCTGACTTCATCTTCACTTGAGCCTACATCGCCACCAGGTTCCCTCCACTACATCTGAATACAGGATAGCCTAGAGCATGTGGCACAATGCTCCCACTGAGTTGTTGAAACCAACATCCCAACCCCCTGACACCTTGCAATGGAGTAACCTATCAGCTAAGTGATCACTCACACTGCCATACTCTGCTCCACTTCCCATGAATACCCTCAAGCACTGTTCCTGACACCAAGCAGCAAAGGTGGCTGGAGGAAAAGTGGAGTTCAGTGCAGTGCTGACACAAGTCCATTAATTGGAGGTTGATCAGTCAATGCTGTCACAAATAAGGTCTGTCACATGACAGTTCATAAGTGCTTGTGACATCTCATGCATTGACTCATCAAAATGTTCATGGAGCATTATGAATGTCCATGATGCATCATGGGACATTATAGCATTTTACATGATGGGGAAAGGTCAAAATAAACATATGACACTCCATGACACTCCATGAGGCATCATGTCATATTGTGTCACCAGCAGTCATGAACCTTGTCAGCACATGACGGTTCATGATGGTTCATGAAATTTGGTGACAGTTCATGACAATTTGTCATGAACTGTCATGAAATCCAAAATTTTAAATGTAAAAAATGTCTGATTCAATTCAATTGTCATGAATTCATATCATGAATTTCGTGACATGTCATGATCTCATGATTTCATGATGCAGGATTACACTTTTGGAGAGTACCTCCAAAAAGCCAGGAATCATACGAACTTACAATGATAAGAATGAGGCGAAACTCTCGGGGTTCCCCGTAATTGAACATGTTGCAGCTAAAAAACACCCATTCTTGCTGAGTTATTCAATCGATCCACTGGCTTCTGTCTTGAAAATCCATCTTCTCACTATCTGTTCCTCAGGCCTCCATTCAAGCGCAGACAGCACCATCCCAATCTATCGCTCAGCATTCTGTGTTACCTACAGCTCCAGTCTAAACATCAGGATCTCATTCTGTACCAGAACCTACTCAATTGACCACTACTTCTTGTTTCGGCAATGCAAGAAATGGCAGGAATGACTGAGCGGCTCACAAGGGGGAGATCGCTCAGCGCACATCGAGTCAGTCTGTAAATACCTGTAAGTTGTATTCTAGGCACCCATTATCAGCCAAAAGATATTGAGCGACAAACACACAACCAAAACTGGAGTTGAGACTGGTAACCAGGTATGTTAATAGTCCGCTCTCAGCCATAGCATTGATTCCCCAGCTCACATATGCTCGCACACATAATTTAGCTTTTTTGACAGCACTGACCAATGCCCTCACCTATTTTGATAAATTCTCCCCATCCCCCACTTTACTCGTTGCATCTCTTCCGCCTCACTTCCTCGAGTTTAATTCACCACTCTACCCATCACATCTCTTCATTCCAACTCTCGGATTTGGGAGTCCTTTGAAAGCAAAATCAGCCAGGAGCTGAATAAGCGTCGTGACGACGCACATCGACCACCTTATCTAACCTGTCATTCCTTCACTCTGACTCTCGAGTTTAATTCACTGCTCTACTTATTACATCTCGTCTGCCTAACTTCCTCACTCCGATTCTCATCAATGTTTCCCAGATGTCTGGCCACCTTATCTTCCAGTCAGCCTCAGTCGCATCCCCACATCCCACTTGTCATTTCTTCACTCCAACTCTCAAATTTAATTTGCTGCTCTACTCATTACATATCTTCCAGTCAACCTCCATCACATCATCCAGAATTCCCAGGAGATTTTCCACATCTAACTTCCTCATTTCTTTGCCCCGACTCTCTTGTCTGCCTAACTTCCTCACTCCGACTCTCATCAATGTTTCTCAGATGTCCACTTACGTTGGCCACCTTATCTTCCAGTCAACTTCTGTCACATTATCCAGAATTCCCTGGAGATTTTCCACATCGACTCTACCGGTTTGAACTCCATCCGCAGCATCCACTGGATCCACACACTTTCCAAGAGATTTGTCATTGTGTGGTGCCAGGAAACTTGTCGAAGACATGCTGAAAAACAGATTTGGATCTGGTTCAAAAAGGTACGTCATCCCCTGGGAAGGATGTCCACCTTGCCATGGTCCAGGGGCTACCCGTGTCGGTTCACAACCCAATATACCTTGGCTCTGGTGACCGGGCTCCAAGAGATGTCCACCTGGAAAAAAAAATGGCCACTGCCAGAGAACAAGGTAATGGTTTCGCAATGTCTTCAGTCTCAATACTCACACCTCTACAGAGCCTTTTTGCGGACATATCGCTTACTTGGATACTCAACCTCAAGAGACCCTAAAGTACTGACTGCTATCAACTACCATGTCCTAGGAGCCTTTGCCACCTGGTCTTTGGGGTCATGAATACATTCATTAATGCTCCGCTAGCTACTATCACATGGAACCAGATTGTCTCTTCATGGTTAGGGTGGTGCAAGGGCTGGTGCATATGGGCAAGGGCACGATCGCATTAACCCCTTCTTTCAAGACCGACAGATCATGTCACAAATGGCTGTTGCTGGACTTCTGTGGCCTTCACCAATGTGAAAGCTTGTGAGTGCTTATTCATGTTATCAAGTAAGAGAAGTGTCAGATCGTCAAATTTGCAGTCATTCTTGACAAGTCACACTGGATGCTGTACTTCCTTGTCACTGCGATGTTCCCGAGGTTCCTGATTACTCTTGATGAGGACTTGCAATCCATTCCGGTGACTGCTCGAGTCAGCCAGATTAGTTTCACCATAGGCTGTTGATGTCGTGAGTCAGGTGGGTAAACCCAGAACAATATCAGGTTTCCAGACTCTTCCTGTCCTACACATGTGTACATGTCACCTGTTCTTGCTTGTGGGTCCGAGTCCTGACAAACTGGGTGGGCTTCTATATCAGTATGGATGCCCTGCTATGCAGCCGAGTCCTTCCAATCCAAATCCAAGCCAGCCAGCAGTATCAGGTAAAACCCAAACGAGATGTGAGTGTTACGACTTATCTGCTTCCAGACAATTTTTTTCAGTGCCTTTGGACTGCTATACTGCCTTCTGGGACCCTATCAATGGCACTTGCTTATGCCATCATGCCAGTTCACAGAACAACAATGAGAGCAGCACTCTTCTAGCATGTCAGGCAAGCAGGCTTCAAAGTTTCTCTGCAAAAAGTATTCCTTGTCCTTGCATACTTGGCTGGCTTCCTTTCTTGGCCTATTTGCAATTCTTCTTCCCAGCTCTCTTTCTCAGAAGACCTGCAATGTCAGAGCCTACTTCACATAGTAGCAACATTGGCACTATCAATGATCTTAACGTCCTGGCATTACGCAGGGGAACCCCCTTCCAACATCTACCCACCTCCTTCACCTATGAACAACTTTCTGTCATACTTCCCTATGGATGTGGGGTATCTGGTAGCTTTGCCACAGGTGTCAAGGCTGGGATTGTCACCACTGCTCCTAGTTATTCAGTGCAGAGTGGGGCTCTGAACTTAGTGGGTCCTAGTACACTTCCAAAGGGGAAAAAGAGGAAATTTGAGGTATGTGCCACTTCTCGAAACTGAGTACTCCTTTTCCTCTAGAATGACTGGGGTGGGGTGGGGGAGTCTGTCTGAATGATGGTCATCATTTTAGCCTGTGGTATTATGTGCTTCCAGAGGATTTTGGACACGATACTACACCAGATGCTCCAAAGGGTTGTGGGATCACTGGCTTACATCTCCTTCATCGACATGGTGCTCGTTATCCTACCAAAAGATGTATGTGGTGGATCATTATTTTACCTTTGCGTTCTCTATTGTTCCTGGTGATCTAGACTTGGACTGATAGTTCCTGTGTGTTACCAGCCACCTATGGGGTGTTGGAAGTTACAGCCCGATGCCACTGGCGGTCCCGGACCGTACATTCATGCTTTGAGAGCTTTGGGAAGGAGGCACTTTTTGGGGCAATTGACGGTGAACATTATGTCGCTTTGGCCCTTTGTTTTTATGCTTTGACTACTGCTCGCGTTTCACTTCAGTGGCGTAGAACTGACATTAGATGTATATAAGGACAGGACTTGCACTGAGAGCCGATACATCACAATAGACATATCGCACTGCTCAGATTAACATGGGGTCCTGAGCGTTTTGCGGAGAAAATTCATGCATTAGCAGCAAACTGGACTGCATATGGAGACCTTGGATTCCTTAATGAATGGTATCAAACATCAAACACCAGTGCAGATGGGTACTACTGAGCAAGTGGAGCTTGGCACCGAACAATATATTGTTCATGCCAGTTTTAGAAGGATTTGTTATACTGATGAAGAATCCAGGTTGGGAGGAAGAGGTGGAATGTTGATTTCTGTTGCATGTGCATATATAAATTTATCCCTAATACTCTGCCAGATGAACTTCTGAACTTGGCAAGTTGCGGTATTGTCTCTAATTCTTCCGTGTACATTACAGTTGTATGAATGTAAACTAAGCTTTGCTACCAATGCTCCATCTAAAGTGTTTGATTAAAACTGAGGTGAGAACCCCCTTCAAAAGATATGTTCCCAGCTGAGTTCAGTTCCAGGATCAGGTGGTTTGATCACTTCGAGGAAACCAGTCACTCCTGCTAGTTTGGATATACCCAAAGTGCCTGATTTGTAAAATTTGAACTGAGGGAATTTGCTGATGCAGCGGTACCTAATTGTTGCACAGGCTTGATTGGTCGTTATCATCATCGTGCGAGAGCTCAATGTAATTGTATACAGTACATGCTGTTCAAAAGTTACGAAATGAAATTGCAGATCCAATCATGGGGAGCTTCTGTAAAATGATCACTTCATCAACCATGGCACCAGAATTACAGTGGTACATGTACATGAACCCACTGCTTCCTTAATTATACTCATTTCCTTAGCCTCCACCCAGCTGTATTCATCCAACAAAAACTCATCGGCCAGAGCTTCCAAGGCTTCCATCACCCAGTCTTGATAGCTCCACTGAGATATATTATTTCGAACCGGTTGCGTGGACAATATCTCTTTGGTGGCAGCAATATCATCTTCCTTCTCGATATGAGAAACGAAGACCGACTTTCAGTGATGCCTGGAGGACTTGGGGTCCACGTCGTTGATCACTTGGTGCTCAAAGATCGTGGCAGAGCCGTAAATAATATCTTTGGGCTCATTTTCGTCTGGATTGATTATATGGAGATAGATGACCCAGTAGCCAACATTTGCACCCCCATATGGAGAGTAAGTACTGGGCGACATGCAAGGATGCAATCATGGTCGACATCTAGTGGCTACAATTGAGGGGGGAAGAAGAGAGGACGTGTGGAATAGGACTGGCCGGGCTCTTACGGCGAAAGGGGGCACAGCCACACAAGGGTCTGATGGGATCAATTGGATGATAAACACACACAACGGGCCCTGCATTTCACCATGTTTCACTGTTTCCCGTTGCTCCTTCATTCTAAAGGATTGCTCCTGTGTGCTCTTTTCCCATCTCTGCATTCAGGCCCGGAACTTTAGATCACCTATACCATCGGCCATGTTGACAAGCTCGGTACCGAAACTGAATTGAATCACCAAGTCTGAGGCCGCTTACATAATGGAGTTACCCATATATAAACCCAAGGACCGATCTTATATTTACACCCCTCTTTAGTGTAAATCCAGTGATCTCTTTAGCTAAGTGTCAGGGACGCATCCGGGGTAGAGGAGGCCCGGGTGAGACGCCCGACACTAGGAGCCTCGTGGGGTGTGGAGCGGGCGTGCGTACTGGCGGGCCGGCTCAGGAGGCAGTCCTGGCCACTTAGACTGAAGTGGAAAAGGGTGTTATTATTATTAGAAGGGAATACTATGTTACTTACCTGAAGTGGAAAAGGGTGAGAAGAAGGCTACTTCTTCGGTTCCCACTTCAGGTATGTTTATATACATGCGGCTTAGGTCACATGACGGGTGCCACGTCATCCTCGCATACAGCCGTAGTCACCGGGTGTCCCCGTGGGGATCCGAGGGCGTCCGCTGTGAGCGCGCGAGCTGGACATAGCGGGGGTCGCCCGAGGCGCCCGGGCTGGGTGTGTCGTGAGCGCGCTGCAGGTGGGTCAATGGTACATTGATACAAGGAAAGGTCGTCCGTGTAGAATAAAGGGAAAATAAAGAGAAGGTGAGATAAGTAAAGAGAGAGTGGAATGGAGAAAGAAAGAAAGAAGAAGGGGGGAGGAGGTAGGGGAAGACTGGGTGGCGGGTACCGGGTGAAGTGGGGCCGGGTGGGCCGGGTCAGGCAGGTGTGCCCTGACACTAAGTTCATGCTCTCTAAGCTCGTCTATCGGCCTTTGCCGATTCAAGATCTAGCCCCAAACCGAGAGAACACTACGCGCGCCCCCCCCCTCAGAGCCATCCTAAAAAACTGGCCTAGTAGTCAGAATGGCGGTGAACTCTCGGCAGACGGTATCGGTGCAGACGAATGTAAATACAGGCTTCAAGCTTGCTCTCCAACAAATCACACCTCCCAGTGTTCCCCAAAACTTTCATGCGCCTCATATCAACTACAGACCGAGCCCATCACCTGCAAATCTTAAAGCAACAAGTCCAGCATCGCACGATCATGCTCTGGTTGAATGTACCCCCCTCCAGAAACCCCATGGGGCCACTCAATACAAGTCGAGATCGATACTGGGTATCGGGCTTCGCCGTTCTTTCCGGCCCAGTCAAAATCGATGAGCTGTACCTTCCCCTCCGTCATAATCATTATGTTCGGCGGCCGAAGATCTCTGTAGACAAAGTTTTTCGCATGAAGCGACTTGATGATGTTTCGGAGTGCGCCAAGTCCTTCTATCGAGGCCACACGCCCTGACTCCAACGCATTGGCGAGCGTGTTGCCAGCTACATAGTCCATAACGACCATTTTGAGCTTGCCGTAACATGGCATTGTAGGAACGACGTTGACTGGTCCACAATACAACAATTTCGGTGCGAATCTCTCTATCTCCATCGCACGATGCACATCAGCACCATAACCAGTGACAAATTTGACTACAACTTTGGTTGAGTTGTTGATGGTAGCAAGGTACGTTTGGCAAGATGGGTCATGATCAAAAGGTTTTTCATAGGTAAACTTGACAAGATTTCCATCTTGCCTGAAGAGTCCTGGAGAAGGGAAGAACCTAGGATGTGGCACTCCAGTCTCCATTGGAGAAAGCCGATCAATGGTTTTGTACCAATCATCCAGTTGTGAAAGTGACTCTCTAAGAGCGTAGAGAACACGCGCAATCCGAGTGCACTGGTATTCATCGAGGGATGAATGAAAAGGGAGCCAAAGGAAGTCCGTCAGCCGCTGGACAATGCATTGGGATGTAAGGACACCGCCCAGAATAGGAAGCCATGGTCCAGCCTGGACGACAAGGAAAGTTGGACAGCAGCACCGCTGCGTAATATCCTGTGCCTGTAAAATATCAAGCATGAGTGATCAGGCAGCAAGACAAGCAAAAGAGAACTGGCATTTTGCTGTTGGTACCGACGTAAAAATGAAAATGCAGCCTGAGTTGAAGGGTCAGAGCTTCCATCCCCGATTTCTTTCTTCTCTTCATTAACAAGGATATAGCTTGCGGGACCTGGGTGGGAGCCCATTACAGCACCGTCGGGTTCTGTGGAACCATCAGAAAGCAAGATACGGCCAATGATTTTCCCAAGGACTGGGTTAATTCGTAGCCGACGATCCTCCTCACTGCGGAATATGGCAGCGGATTTCACCAGCAGATTGTAGGTCTGCGATTCCAAGTCGGACGGCACCTCGAACCCAGGGTCAAAAGCTTTGCTGGAAAAAAATGCAAAAGCAGGGTGATAGGGATAGCAACCGTGAGCTTGCAATTCTCAGCAGCATATCGGCAGTCCCAAATTGGGGAACTGTTCCCCTGGTAATCCATATAATGGTTTGACCCGGCGAGCTCAGAGGGTGACGGCACTTGGGGACCCAAATGAAGTAGATTCTTGTAATCTTCCTCTCATAGAATCAGTAACCTTTCGGGGTTGATTCAGGAGTAATCACCCACCCCATGTGAGATGCGCTATGATATCGTCATCCCCGCTCCCTGTCACTCCCCCACTTGGATAGATTAGTTCATACTGTGCTACGAGGGACAGCTGCTGCTTCGGGAGCAGGAAGGGATCCACATGATCGGCAGGCGATAAACTGTCCGCTATTTCGCTGAGATCCCTATGCAGCGGTACCTTTTCTGTTAGCATCAAAGGTCTCTTAAGCTGCAAGTTGCCCATCAGTGGCAGCAAAAAAGATGAACCAATGATTAACCTTCCAGAAGTGGATGATTACAATGAAGTTCTGGTTGTTTGATATCCTCAGATCCTGAAGCACTGATTTCTTGATGTCATGAAGCAACTGACCCCGTTGAGCCGGAATACGACGAGCCTCATCCATGGGGATATTTGCCACTTTAATCCAGATAAATGTCATTGCACACATGTTGGGTTGCTAGCTTGAAACAAACGCAGTTCACCGCACCTATTACTCGTCACGAACGCAAAATATGACGCCAGCCAGCCGCACCGCCACGCCATCACGAGGCCGCAGGGTAATGGGCACAGACACATACTGTACTGGCACGACCAACAACCGGGTCACGTGGAGGCGTGGGAAAAAGTTTCGGAAAACCACCAACCGGCAACCCTGCGTTATGCGTTACACCCGACCAGATTCACACATGATACAGGTTGGTTTTTTGATTGTTTTTTAACAAGATCGGGTCTTACCTTAGCTGCGGTGTAGCGGGGTTGGCCTAATTTATTCATCTTGGAAGGCATATTATACTGGCACACATTTGGCAACGTGTTATGAAATTTACTGTAAATGAAAAAAATTTCAAACACATGTTCATGATGGCTTCGGAGTTGGCCGAATTTTGCTATTCACATTTTTGAATGTATATACAATACAAAAAAGGAAAATTGAATTACATCAGCACAGCCACCACAAAGTCCGTGAATCTGCGTTACGCTGGACGGCCGACCGGCTGCCTCGCGTTACGTGTCACAATTTTACATTTGAACCGGACCGGCGGGCCAGCGTTACGCGTTACCGGTTGTTGGTCGTGCCAGTACAGTACTTTGTGTAAAATCACAACAACAACTGAAGGGTCGATCTTAGAGTGCCAAGCGGATAAGGGACTCTCGAACTGCCAGAAGACAATGAGTCAGGTAACGATTCGGGAGAAAGTCCAGAGCCAACAAAGCAGAGTTTGGCCCGCGCGACCGTGACCCCGGACATGTTGGCAGACTTGCATGAAAATGACAACGAGGATTGGTGTCGACTATCTAGTACAGTGATCACAACATGAAGAAAGCCCGTCCTACCTGGAGGACTGAGATGAGCGTGAAGGGGCAAGGCATGCAAATACATATAAGACGGGTGTGGGGACTAGCGATATGGTCGCTGGAGTACAAGAGTGAGATACACATTGTGTAGCACATAAATGAAGGGGAAGTCTTAGACTCACCTCAGTCCCGTAGTACGTGGACTGAGGAAAAGTTATAAGGTCCAAAAAAATCATGTTTCACAGTTAGTCAGGCGCTATGAATGCGCACTGACTTTAGCAGCGAGTGTTCCAAGAAAGGAAACAAGAGTGGATCATGACCGTCGCAAGACTCAACATCAACAAATGTGAGTTGGCCTCAACGTACGCTACGATCCCAAGAATTTCAATAATACATAGTACGATATTGGTGTTAACCGGTAGGAATTGCGGTCGGAGGCGGGAGAAAGGGAGGGACTCTGACAAGGAGTAATGTGGCTCAGTTAATTGATCAGTGCTGCAATCCACTCTGAGACAGATTCTCATCTTCTGGACGAGGTCGAAAAGCTACGCACGCACTATACCCGATAGGAATCTTCTCAACGTGCCTTCGCTCCCTTCCTCAAATTCTCACTTGTACAGTCGGGGTGAGATTCAAACTCTTACTCGCCATGCAGTTACGTTGCTAGTGGATAGTTCACATCGGTGGAACTGAAGGCAAACCCGCCAGATTCTACAACGCTACGAGCAGATTCTTTCAGAGTCAATGCTGTGGAAAACCCATAAAGGATGAGGATGAATCGATCCTTGTTGACCTTTCATCGACCATGGTAAGGGAGAGAACAATTCGAGCAGCAGAGCTCGCCGTTTACGGGAAAACTCTACACGCCGGAAATCAAAAACCGGAAGATGGTCAATTTAATTGAGTGGCCCATCCTAAATCCCAATCGAGCGTATCGTACACCGCGGCGGATAGCAGGAGATGGGGTATCATACCTGAGGCAATTCAAGGTGGAACCAACATGACAGTACATGCCATGCGTGGCCATAAAGCCCAAGGCTATTAGAATAGTGAAATGATGACCATTATCTGGTTACAATATCCACGCCCTTGTTGGTGGACTAAGATAAGCAGCTCCTCAATGCCTCGGCAACCCTATCTGCCACGATATCATGAGTCTCAGCATTTAGATGCAAATCATCCGACCAAGGGTCCCCAGTGAAACTATCCAGAATATCAGTGACTGTTTGCCACATGGAATATAAAATGACGGAAGTTGTCTGCTGCCTGTTCCGAGGGCTCATAAAAGATTTAATCTGAGTCATTAATCCGCAGTTCCATGCTTCGACACGGTCTGTCAGGTCGTGTGGATGTTTTCCATGAACTTTTGCATCCGATAAAGTAAGCAGTGGATTGGAGGAGCTCCGCTAGGAGGAAAGCTAGAACTGACCAGCAGGACAGCGATCGAGGGGAGGCACATCCATAAAAACGAAGTTACGGGCTCCAGCCTTCACGTAAAGATTGTGTACCGCTTCATCAAAGACTTGTTCCTCGAGTATTTCCTCCACTGCTTCAGAATCGTTCGCACCGTTGCTGGCGGGGGGCTTAATGAGAGCAGAACTAACATAAACTTCCATGAAAAATACCCGCAGTCGTTAATCCCGATCCAGATAACTGAAACCGTAAAACACATTCGTCAGACCCAAAGAAAACGCGTCTGCAAACGCATGCTGTCAATTCGATTCCACATACTGTACAGTGTCTCATTAGGCTCCAAATATTGCTCGTTGGCATCGATAGAGCCATCCACTGGGTGAAGATCTTCATCCTCATCCTCAGGCTGATCATCATTTGCGAGATACCGCTTAATTTGAGAGATGAGACCGTTTTCTGCCGTGGCACCTGGTACAGCGAAATTGTGTACGTGTTCAGTGCTAAGGCCAAGTGCATCCCCCAAGCTTCCAACCTTGCTCTGCTGTTGGGCGGGCCAATCTAATGGATGACAAAAATTGGCGGCTTACCCAAGTCAAATTATCTGAACTGTAAGAGTCACCGCTTAAAACAATCGTCCAGAATCAACAATCGACAATCAGCGACACAAGTAAGATACACTCACAAGATGACGATGTCTTTCAATGCATTAGAGCCTCTTGAAAACCATTCAGAACCGAAGGAAGAAAATGAGATGCTGACTGAGGTCTGAAGGTCCTCCTCGGGTGAACGATCAGTACCGATTGCGCGCTGCTGGGACTTATGTTGGCGTCGAGGAGGGGAAGCATGCTCTGAGTCTCCTTCGTCTCCGTCATGCCGTCGCTTTGCCGACATCTTTTGTATCGAGGACTCCAAGGTGGTGTTTGTGTCGAGATGTTTGTTCACGATTAGTCTTCAAGTTTTAAACTACGCTGAGGATGTATGGAAGCCTACTGATGAACGAAGATTGCAAGAATCCGTTTGTTGTCAATCGTAAGCTTCGAAATAAACATGCCATGACAAAGAGCCCGATCAAAGCTCACTACCTGACTTGCCCATTATCATATTTTTCTCGAGACTCCGGACTGTCATGCATTGATGGCAGAGTTTCTCCCCAAACTGCAGCCTCAGAAGGATTTGTTTCCCCCATAGAGACGTCGCTTGATTGGTAAGTCACTCCCTAGCGCGACAGGGCTCGTCACTTACGCGCGCTGCCCAGGTTCCCTGGCCTTTGCTAATTTACTCGCATTCCTTGCCGCCGTGCTGTTGTAAGCCTTGCGCACCTCACAGCCTTTTCGCAATCCTCTGTTCTCGCCTCGCACTTTTCGTTTTTCCCACCTCTTCCCCTTCGCCATCTTCCTTGATGTTTCCTTGTCGTATTCCTTACCCGATTTCTGTGTACGGCTCGCATCGTTGGCCTGCGCAAGTGACGATATTTCCCCGCTGGCCTTGACCCGCCGTGTCCACTATTCGCGATGATTGATAGACAGTGGGCATAGCCAACTAAGGCTAGCAGTCGCATGACATTTGGCATGGCTCAACGGTGTGAGCCGCACATGGGCAGCAAGGACAAATGCACATGAAGCTCAGAACAAACGCGGAACAATAATAGAAAGTAAAAAAAAAGTCGACTGAGGTGGCAGGATACAAGAAGCGGAAGGCATAAGGAGAACTTTGTGACATGATTACATCATGAACATACATAAGCGTCGGCGATGCACAGTGATAATGCAAGGGACGTCGTGTTGAGCAAGCAGGTTCGGGTGGCGCACTTGTATCACAAGTCCAATCGATGAATCGATTTTGACTCACAGCTGCAACTTCTGACTCAGGAAGATATCGTAGCTCCCTCGACTCCACAAAGACACAGAGCCCATGAGCCGTGCGTGCCTTAATGGGATATTAAACTAACGTGCAGAGGGTAGTGACCTGCCTATTCCGGCCCGCAACTGGGAAGACGCAGTTGTGTTATCTTCCACTCCAGTTCCCTTTGATCTCACGCAACACAGAGGCCGGAAGAGGAGTGACAAGATGCTCGTTGGATTCAGAGCGCCGGCTTGATGACTGGCACCCCACCTGTCCGCTATCAGGAATGAGCACTATGCCTCGCTATTAGGGTCCCCCCCCCTGGATTGATGTACATGAATGGTTCCGTTCTGGAGATTTTCACATTTCGAAGTCCATGACACTCACCGAGTGTCCCGAAATATCAACGTATCCAGGCAGTTCGCTCTGAAACACTGGAACAAATCTCATCCCACCCTCCAGCAGGAACTCCGCAACCCGGATACAAAATTCTACGTTCAGGTGGAAGTAATTACAATAGTAGGCACAATCGACCTGGTTCGTACCAATTTTTCGCATGAGGGGCTCAGGAGAAGAAGTGAAGCGACTAGTGTTCGAGGCAGAGAACACGGTCAGGGGGGGGCTAGGATCCCAACATTTGGAGTTCTTGTGAGAATCATTGTGATCTGATTTCGCAAATGACATCCTTGAAAAACTTGGTCAAAACCGCTGCGAATAGGGGCACGGATGTTGTCCCTTTTTTTTTTCCGCCAGCCATAAAATACTTTGAGGTCCCTCCTCAAAATGGCAACAAGAACGGCATCGTGGTGAATAGAAATGTTGCGGTGTTCCCAAGGCCGAATTGGCAGGTACATTCTTCTCGTAGATTCATGACACCGCTGGACCATCACAGAGTGTAACAATAGGGCCGCACAAGACCCCCATGACACCGAGTCTAGTCTGGCTTACGAGAGAACTGTCATGGTCTCGAAATGCTGCAGGAGAGTTTTACTCAACTGCTGACGTTGTGTTTCTTGGTATACTTTGCCACCCAGTTTAGGGAAAGAGTTGCCCCAAGCGGTGGCGTAAGCCCGAAAGTGCAACTGATAACACAATATTAAAAAATTCGATGGTACGACAAGAAGTGCAACCCAATCCTGACACACTAACTAATTGGGATCTTTTGCTTCCAAACCATGTTCTCAATAGAAAGCCTCTGGAACAAAATCAACTATGAAATGCCCGCAGTCATGGGCAAGGGAGGAGATACAGTTGTAGACACAATAACGTCACGATCGATAAACGTCCAAGAGCGGAGACAATGATGCTTGAACCCCTCGGTGTGGCACTGTGCGGACTCTATGTAATATTACAAAGTCATAACAGAGGCTGGAATCCTGCCTTACATGCGGACAAGGGGTCGTCGGTTTATACATGCTGAACATCCCAGAATGGGTCAGGCCTACTTATTTTCGGATGACGTCCATAGAGGCTGGAGTCCTGCGGACCCCCACTATCAGATAATTCAAAATGCTGCATTTGACTTGAGCATTTTGAGAGAGCAGTTGGTGTTTTCTTTACCTGCGCTTGTTGATGCGCATTGCAACCCCGCAAATCCAGTTCAATGAGGTGTTGAATTTATTTTTTATTTTTTATTTGCCAAATCTGTGTGTTTCGGAACTTCGCGAGAGTAACACCGATTGAATTATGTGTCACAAGGAGCAATGGCCAACGCCCTTGATTTGGGCGTGGGAAAATTGGGGCACAAGTTTAGTCACAGTTATACCTTTGGCCTCCCGCTTTGTTGTGAAAATTTTCCTCCGTCCTTTCTTTGACTCTCAATCACTCTAAGGAACTCCGCGGACAAGATAAATAAAAATTAGTTAATGATGACGAAAGTCTGGGAAACTTGTACACTTATTTAAGCTCAACTTCGTTAGGCTGCTTAAGTGTAATTAAAATATTCACAACTAGTTCGGTCATGGATGCCCATTGCATGATTTTATAATTCTCTGTGCTGGAGGTATATAGGATTACTTGCTTTAGCCGCTCATCCATGAACCTCATGGCGCCCATACATTGCAACTCACTGATATCCATGTCGTAAGCCCGGTATGATATGATGATCCACAAGTTATAGTAAAGGCAATACGTGGCTGGTGGCTTTACTATACCATTGCTATACCGTATGCCTAAATCCATTGATTCCGATCCCGTGTCTCTCGCTCCGGCGGTCGTTGATGCTTCGTACCCGATTCCCACCGCGATTATTCAAATACATTCTCTTACACATCTAAGAAACCAGTTCTTTTTTTTTTTTTTTTTTGTTTCGCAGAATCGGCTTTCCCGGGGCTGTCTTGCCTGCAAGTACTTGCAACAACCCCCTGTCGTGAGATGCGATATACCCGGCGGGGGGCACCGGATGTCCATCAGGTTACCGAGTTCCGATTGGAACTAAAACGAGCGAGTCAACATTATGTGTGTAATATTATTATTGCACGTACAGTCCGGTCGGCAGCATCCACCGACGATCATGAACAAACTATGACTTGGCCCAATGATGCTGATGTCCCCCTCTATCCTTCTGTGGGCATCAGTATCTCTCACATTCATACATCCATGCAAGCTTCATCTTTCATATCTTACACCTCATACTCGGCTCCAAAACTTTTTTTTTTTCGCTCCTGATTTCTAAACCCTCAATATGAACTCTTGAATATCATTATCAACTTCCGTTGGATCATATGAACGTGAACGAGCATTACAAGCAGGTGAAATTCGTGGACGAGTAAACCATGAAAGGGAAAGACGGAATGCCGAAGGGGGGGGGGAAGAGGTGGAAGAAAGCGAAGCAAGGATGACGAAATGCAAGACGGGTTTTGGACCCCAACGAATATTATGCGAATGGTCAAATGGTATGCGCGTTCCCAAGTGGATGGTGATACTGCATACATATGTATGCTCAGGCCACCGAATATTTACTTCTTGCGCGGAGTGCGGGGCCGAAATAAATGAGCGCAACCGTACACGGTATCATAGCAGCGGCAATGGCTGCCAGAAGTGTGCACCCATCGCCCACCCCGAGATTCTTGAACATTTGACGACCGAACAGCCTATCGAAAAAAGTATAAAACGTAATTCAATCCCTGCTCAACTCAAAACAAGCTAGATAGAAAGGGACTTACGGGAAGGCGCCTGCTATGATAGATCGGAAGAAGCAGTTCCCGGCTAGGATACTAGCGGCGTACATAGGGTACGAGCTCGGGAGGTAAACAAGACTGCTCTGGAAAACCCAATAGATCCCAGGCATGTAGAGCCCCGCCGCAATGGTTGGTACGATCCAATGAACACTCTTCCGACTCGTCCATCCGAAGAACAACAGCGCTGCAGGGATGATACACCCTGCGACCACGGCAATATAGAGCCGCTCCTCCGGGTGAAGATAACCTTGACGAAGCCATTTGGATTAAGGTACCATTGAAGGTATGCAGCATATATTAAGAACGCGATGAAAACTCCAACGAAAATCCCTATGAACGGCAGACCGCTGACTCCGAGGTTGAATCCATGGATCTCGCTGAAGACGATCGGGAATGCCTCGAACCAAACTGAAAAAAAGGAGAATTTGAGGTTAAAGACTGAACACGAAAAGAAAAGAAAAAAGCGCGTACGGTAGAAGATAGCATATGTAAAACCAACGTAAGTGTTAAGGAAAATCACCGCTGGTTCTGCCAACAGTTGTATAGGTCTCCACAAATACTCCTTGGCAATAGCACAGGAGTCATGCCGCCTGTTTCAATTCCGAGCACTTCTCAAGTGTCGGTTTCCAGTCAACCTCCTCAATCGTCTCGCTCTCCTCAATAAAATCGTATCGGCGAGAGTTTCGGGAAGGAGGAAAAACATGAAGATCGACGTGAACCCACCCACCCACGCCAGTTCCCAGAAGGGCCAACGCCAACTCTCGTCCATTGCAGCGAAACCACCAATGATGGGGCCGACTACAGGACCTGCAACAGCGGACATGGCCCAAGCGGCAATGGTGAAAGGAACGTATTGGGGAGCGAAAATGTCTGCGGTGGTTGCACCACCGGTAGCGAGGGCAGGGGAACCAACGAAGCCTGCAAGAAAGCGAAGGACAGTCATGGCGCCGAGTGTGTCGCAAAGGGCGGTGGGAACCTGGAGGAGTGTGTAGACAACAATGCCAAAAAGATATACCGGGTTACGACCGAGAACGGGGAGTTCTTGCAGAGGGGAGAGGAACTATTTCAAACAAGCGAGGGAGGTTAACTAGGGCCAAAGGATCTGAAGCGCAGAGGAACACGTACTAATGGACCAATACCGTATGCGATGATATAAATTGATAATCCAAGGATAGCGGGTGTGTACCCAATATGCCACGACTTCATCAAACCAGGAACGGCCGAAGCAAAGATACCACCACCCATGTACACCGAGAAAGTCAACATATCGATAGTCAACATGATGAACAGCCGTTTTTTGAATGACCAGTTGCGCGGATTCTCCTGGTCGTCAGGACCCCACCAATCAACGGTGTAAGGGTCATCGGCAGGCGGCTGGGGCTCGACTTGGACGGAGCCTCGCTCAGGATCAGGATTTGGAGTTAAATTCTCTGACTCGCCACCTGATTTTTTCTTCTCGAGGGGAGGTGGCGTGCCGACACGCGTTGAAGGCGAGCCGGAGTCAGGGGAGTTTGAGGGTAGGAGGAAGCGTTCAGGGACGACGAAACCTGGCTTCTGATCCTCATAGGGGAAGTACTTGCCGTTAGAGTACCTGTTGACGATGAAACCGAACGTTGAGTCGCGAACAATGTCCCACACCATGGTCGGGGATTGTTATACGGCGGGAGTGCTAGGTGTTAGGGGAACGTGGCGCGGAAGGGAGGGTGGGAGACGGCAGGTGTGCAATGCTGAGGAGAGAGGGCATTAGGAAGGTCCGAGAGGGAATGGTTTATAAGATGAACTGGGCAGCTGATGAGGTGATAACATTCAATCGTATTAGGACAAGGGTGGATGACATATGTTGAAAAGGGGAGGGATTGAGTGACCGAGCCGCAGAGTAAGGATGTAAGCTTAGAGCAAACTCTCACATTTGAGCCTAGTGTGAAATTGTGCCAAGGTGATAATTCATTCCAAAGCGGAACCACGGGTTCAAGGAGGAAAGCAATTCAAACTTGATTCTCTAGCCTAAATCCCATTACCAACATGATGATTCAGCTAGCGGACGATCTAGAGTTATCCACTCAATCAGCGCAGAGGTGAAATTCCATTACGAAGCATCCCAAGGGGTACGTTTGTGAAGAGAAACCTGATCCAAGTGACCAAAAGGTAATGCGTCAGGGCTCCATTTGTCTTGTAATTACGAGAGGAGACAACGGGAATGAAGAGAGATGAAATGAGGCGGCGGCCTTGCAGTGCCCAGCACAATCACGTGAGATACGGCGATCCATCTCAACCACCGCCGGCTTATGCAACATAACTTTTAAGCCGCTCAAGGATCCTTCCAAAGTCTTTCTAAACGCCTCTTCCTAAACACCAGAGTCGCGGAAGCTGCATAAGCGTACGATCCAAAACACGGGTTGTTGGTTCTAGCTGTTCCACGTCTCCGTCTCAAGTCAACCTCTACTTACTTTGAATACCGGGTATCGAACACATTTCGTCTGAGATAACTCCCATCGTCACGCTACGATATGCTGATTTTCTGCATGCAATTATACATGAGATTGTGGGTAGCTTTTTGTACGCACTTTTCCGTGATTCATGATCAGCTTTTATTTCATTTATATATCCTGGCCTGGCAGTCTTGATGATGTGGTACCACTATACCCCGAAGCAGTTCACGCTAGAATTGTGGAATCTTCCTTCTAACACGTTCGACGTCTTTCTCTCTCCAAATAAACCCTATGTAAGGGTTCTTGTCACATTGTAATTTTTTTGTTCGTGCTTACAAATGCCCGTAGAGGGTTATTAAGCTTGGCGAGTCATTTGCCCGCATTGGCAAATTCTCACGCTGATAGAAACGATTGTTCTCCTTTCGAGGCCAAGCAAGCCCCCTTGGTAATATCTTTTAACCCCTTCTTGGCCAGTATCAAGCTCGTCACCCTTGCTTCGTTTTCTTCCCGTGGCTGCAGGTAGATACACAGCAAGTCCGGGCGTCACTTAGATTCCCGGCTTGCCGTTCCGATTGACCGCAACTGCCACGAACCCACCGGACGAGAGAAATGGGCTAGCCCGGCTTCGAAATGTAGCAAATGCCTGCAGCTAGCGATGGGAAAGCCACAGTTGTTGGGCCACTGGAAGCCAATGTGACGATTTTGGTTCGCCTGCGTGCCTTCTGGTCCTAACCCGATCCATAATCCTCGATGCTCGGCCACTTGAACTCCGCGCGATATCAATGTATTTACCGCTGACGTTTTTAATTTATTTGGCCTGCATGCACCTCCTTGGGCCTGTTGTAACTTTAGTCTCACATCATCTGATGTCCTCGGGGGATGCATTCTCGTAACCCTTGGATGACGTGTGGACACACCCTTGCAGTAGTGTAATAACTTCTTAGAATCTCTCCGCTTTTCCATCTGCTTCTCTAACTACTGAAACCGCTTCATTCAAACACATGCTTATGATGCATGCATTCATTCAACCGTAAGAGTAGGCTGGTTAGCACCTCTCCGCCAGGGACGGACCTCACTGATATTCTTATTGTTGCCAAAAATCAATGGGATAGAGGTGTTGTTTATCGGATCTTCACGGACTGGGAGCGCCGTCTTGGAGCGCCTTCAACATCCCGGAATCATGCATACGTACGTGCCTCGTCATCCCAAGGTCTCTTCTTCTCTGTTCTTCGTCGGAGCCGGATACCTAGCGGTCATTCCATATATATTCCTGTCCACTCACCGCCTTGTCACATCGAATTCCAGCCGGAAATGAGGTGTCTTTTGGAAACATATACTCGGAGAACTTTGTATGGGACTTGTGCCGACGATCTTCCAATTGTTCCGCTTCACTCGTGGTCGCTCATGTTTTTATCGTGACGTGGTAAACTTCTCAGTGGGTTCCGTCCCATCCTTCAAGCCATCACTGGGAGATTAGTGCGCTGGAGCTCCGCGATACTCCGCCTTGTGTGCGCACCTGAACAACGGAATACGGTGTTAAGTCAAGCCTTATGCATGTGAACTCTCTTCGACTCACTCATGAGTATTACTGTAATTTGGCACCCCAATTACAGATTACATATCATCGAATTTGGATTGTGGGGAGAGGGGAATAGGAAGAAATGAACGTGCGCGCGATAAGATATACTGGTGATCGCTGCATTGATCGCCATACATGCATGGCCTCTCCTTTACCCTATGAACGCACACGCTACAAAACGATGAGATGCGCTTTAATCTCCCCCATCCCGGAACAGAGTTGGACTCGCAAAGTAAATCAACAGAGGAGCCCCTAACTGAAGCTCCGATTTCATGCATTTGAATTACTCATCATGTATGTGTGAACATACTTAAATAGCGACGTGCTAACCCATCGTGTTTACAGCCTGCAAGTCATACCCAAATCACATCACCTCTTGTCTTCCCTTCCGAGACTCGGCTTGAACGAGAATGAGTTCAATGGTACAATAGATTGAGGACTCGGTGCCGTGACTCTCCATCCCTAAATCCAATCTAGGGTTTTCTATGGCTGAGTCTCATGAGATTCTGTTCTGACTTTCGACCGCCCAGTGGCGGAGGACGTCGGAGGCCTGACATGTCGTCCTGCTTCAAGCCTCCCTTGACCCCGACTTCTGGGTCCGAGGTGCAGTGGAGGAAATTGTGATGCATCCCCTTACTACCATTATAAAAGAAAAAAAGGCAAGGGTCTTTTCCCAGGAGTGTTATGGGTTGCATACAAAAAACAACAGTATAATCATGGTCGTTGGATGGTTCGGGCTTTGGTAATTGGGTACCTTTCCTCGAGTCAGCCGCGTGACACCGATACCTAACTTGTCCTTTTTGCCATAACGCTGACATGATAGAATTCCAGGCCCGTTCCCCTGTGCATGTGAATATAGGTTGATCGATTACAGTATGCCCCCATGATCATGTACTCATGATCATGTACGTCAACGGCCTGCGCAAGTCCACCACTTCTCCGCTTTCCCCGCTATTGACGAAGTCCTACATACATCAGACCAAGGCCTTCCCACTACATAACACAAACTATAGGGTTGCATGCCTCTCATTCGACAAGAGATTTATGTAATTAGGCCCTGGGAAACACCTTGCCAGCTTGTAGTATGTGGGACCAGCCCCGCCCAAGATAATAAAAGTGACCAAAAACGGAAGAATTTACACACCATAGTACATGCATGCCCCTATTATCCTGAAGTGAACCAGACTCTTTTTTGTGTGCTAAGCAAGCGGACCTGCAGAACGAGATGAAGGCCTTGGGAATATATCTTTAATTTCATCAAGGATCCGTGCTAGACTTATTTGATGGGATGTTTCCCCTTCTCATGAATGTCGGAACCGACGGGTTGATAAGGTGCTTGTCAAGTTCCAATTGTTATGGCGCAGCTTCGCTTAAGTTGTGTTTGATGCTTAAGATGACCCTGAGATTCATTTGAACAGCTCGTGGCAAATTAAGCGTGTTGACATTCGACTCTGACAATGGACAACGAATAATATTATGGCAAGTAGTTGTGTCTCGATCAAGTAAGTACATAACGCAGTTTCCCCAATGTCGAGTCGCAGCGATGGCGACAGAATAACTTTCGTGATCGTAAGTATTCATTAAGGAGACTACAATGTACAAGTGAATTATATACAGTACAAGTAAAGAACTTGGAGAACAAGAAATCGAGACGAAGAACATAATGATAAGGGTCTCGCGGATTTTGCTGCGGAACATTGGTGTATGTATCGAGAGGAAGAAAATGGTTTTTAAGGGTCGGATGTACATCCGTAACGCGACAACTGAACAACACGTAGTATGTTTGACTTGCTGATCCACCACAGGGTGCGAAACCATTGCTGATGACGCCAGTGCTTCGCCTGCACATACTCTTGCACTGGAATTTTGGTGAAGACGTACTCCCCCAAAAAAATCAACGCCCATCATCCGACATTCGTCCCACACCTTCCTCTGTAATTCGCAAGGCAGGCATCGCTTCTTCCAATACAGGAATAGATCCTGAACATGGACGTCGCGACTTTCGCCGCATGTTCGGTGGCACACGAATCCTCAGGAACACAGGTGAAGGAGATGCCGAAGTGGGTGAGTTCGAAGCCGTAACATCCTCTGTATCGGATGATATATCAGAAGGATAAGACGATGACGGCGACGAAGAGTGGAAGGAGTCAGATGTGCGCTGTCGCTTTCGCTGACAAGTGGGTTCGGACATCTCCCGTTTAGGATGCGAATATCGAAGGTCGTATGGAATGGAATCTGAGTTTGTTGGTGTATTAACACAGTGAATCGGATGATTGGACTGAAATGTTCCTGTCAGTCCAAATTAACACCCCTGGGCCCTAAAAAGGGGTTTCGTACCTGGCTCGGTTGCATAGTAGTATCGAAAGGCACGGTAGAAAGGTGGAAAGCGTCGGCGGTTTCGCGCGAGTACAAAGTCATTGGGCAGCTGCAACGATGTGTGAAGGCAAAGGCAACGTTGTCGGGTGAGTAGTGCCGAACGTCGCGACCCGGGTAGTGCTTTGATGATAATCTCTAGTTGCCTTCGACCGACTACAGAGGAACGGAGGCAGTGATTGACAGAAACTACGCGGAATGACACCAACAAGGGGCTGGAGGAAACTTTATAGCTGCCACTCCGCAGCATCGCTTCCGTTCCGGGAGGAGTGAATACTCTGATGGAAACGGAAAGGCAAGCTCAAATTCCCTGGGGATATCGATTCATTTGCGGGTGAGATTATTGTCCACAATTCAGAAAAATGGTGATGCACACGCCCAAGCTCCGACGCAGATCATGCCGAAGGGGCCGGACGTCCGTCTAGCTAGGCGCGTGTTATCATCAGCCTGCAATCTAGTGTTTTCAGTTGGCGTTTGCGCATGCACAAGTTCATGTTGACCGTGGCATTTTGCTTCGTGGGAAAAACCTGGTTGACTGCTCAGATTCCGTGGTTTTGTTGAGTACGGATAGTGATACTATGCTGCAGTCAAATACGAAGACGGTGCTGTTGTAATAACTTTAATCGCTAACTAGTAGTACAATCCATAATGGCCTAACGCCATAATTGAATCGAGCTACCGATGGCGGCACAGTGCGTAAAGGTCGACAGCTTTATATTATATGGCGCTCGGCACTCAAATGGACGACAGAACCAGATCACCTTGGACACCCTATTCAGGTCTGACAAGTATCCTTTTGTGGCTTACCTAACAGGCCCAAAATACCTGACATAAAACGTCTGACAACTTTTTGTTCTAATTCAGCATTCCTCGATCGTAGACGTGACGTCCTTAGATATAGAACGGTTTCAACACCTTTACACATAGGCACCTTGGACATAGGGGGTTCTCAGGACGTTTGAAGCGGACCGATTTGTATACATCTAGGCTGTCCTGAAACGTCCAGTTTCAATTCAAACTTCGAGGGCTAGCCCAGAAATCGAAATCGCAGAGTCGTGGGTTGGGGTAACAACACGAGATCGATGGGAATGCATCTCAAAAGACCCGATGGAAAATGGTTGAGGACTGATCGATAGCGATTCTTCGTTCACTCGACACGGTGTGGCTGTACACTAGTGTGCGGGAGTGTGGCATGCGTGGGAAATGACGTGCAAGGTCAAGACTCAGTGCTTCCTCAGACGTCGGAAAAATATGAGAAAATATACAAAGTTCACGTTGAAAATATATATCGTAATGTACAAATTATAAAAACGTTTGGATTGCTATTCAGCGAGATAGGGGGAAATGCACGATATATTCCCTGCTCCCATGCTATCTTGTTCATTTCTCCACCGTTTTGGATGAACTCGATTGAGTTGGAAAGCTAAGGTTCAGTATAGTCGAATTGTTCAAAAGGAGCGTGGTTATGGCGAACAGTTTGGGCTGCAGACACAAGGTCGTGTTTCCAGGCCACTTTCTTGTCGTTCTGTGTAGAGTCCCTCTATAAGTCTAGATATTGGCTGCCCAAAGCGATAGTCCCTCTTCCCTCCCTTCCTGGTTGGGGCGCCTACGGAAATTAAGGTATTTGCTTTTCAGCGCTAGGTTTTTTCCTTTTCGCCTCTGAGTCATTGCCTCCTGTATTTTTTTCGGCCGCTTCCGGTTTGCTGTAACCTCTCCCTGCCCTCTTCTCTTGGTCTGTAACCTCCTTGGTCCCGTTTCGCCTTCCGTTGTATTTAGGGTCGTTTTCTTATCAAAGAGTCTCGGCGGTCGTCGGGGCCGTTACCACGCTATCTCTTAGTACGGTGTACTCACCCACTTGCCCGCAAGTCGCCTGATTGCGATCCCGTTTTCCTTCATCTCCCAGAACCCGCTCACTACTAGCGGGTAGAAAACAAGAATCTTTACGCATTTTGATATTCGGCAGAGGGCAACCATGGTGTAAGTTTTGTTCCATTTGCGAGATCGAGAATAAAGTTTGACTGATCGATGGGATAGTAACTTCACCGTTGGTGAGCACGTTGTGAAAACGCATAGCGTTGGAAGTTATGTCAATTCCTCAAATTTTCTTCAGATGAGATGAGGGCCCTTATGGACCTGCCGACAAACATTCGGAACATGAGGTACGTTTCTTGCCGTGTGCCTACTTCATGCTGGAGCCTCAAATTCGATCTTTGTTTTCCACAGTGTCATTGCCCACGGTGCGATGAATATGAATGTGATAAATGTTGCCCGCTAATGCCCTAGTACGAATTGGAACAGTCGATCACGGAAAATCGACATTGACAGACTCTCTTATGTCGAAAACTGGTCTTATTGATGACAAAAAGGCTGGTGAGATCCGTTTCACCGCCACACGACAGGACGAAAAGGAACGCGGTATTACCATCAAGTCTACAGCCATTTCCATATACTTCCAGCTGGACAAAGACGACGTCACTTCCATAAAGCAAAAGACTGAAGGTCAATATACTGTCTGACTAGGTGAATTTAATTGAATTCCTTCAACATAGGAAACGAGTTCTTGATCAACCTTATCGATTCCCCTGGTCACGTCGATTTCTCCTCGGAGGTCACTGCTGCCTTACGTGTTACCGATGGTGCTCTCGTCGTGGTAGACTGCATTGAGGGTGTCTGCGTACAGACCGAAACTGTGCTTCGACAGGCCCTCGCTGAACGTATTAAGCCCGTTGTTGTCATAAACAAGGTTGACCGTGCGTTGCTGGAATTGCAGGTCAATAAGGAGGCTTTGTTCCAAACGTTCTCGCGAACTATCGAGCATTGCAATGTCATTATCTCAACATACCACAATGTGGCCCTCGGTGATGTCCAGGTTTATCCCGAGAAGGGTACCGTTGCTTTTGGTTCGGGTTTGCACGGCTGGGCGTTCACCCTTCGTCAATTCGCTGCGCGTTATGCGAAGAAGTTTGGGGTAGACAAGGATAAAATGATGATCAAGCTTTGGGGTGACAATTTCTTTAACCCTGTCACAAAGAAATGGACTACTGATCCAAAAATCGAGGGCGGCAAGAAACTCGAACGCGCATTCAATATGTTCGTCTTGGACCCTATCTACAGCATTTTTGATAAGGTGATGAATTCCAAGAAAGACGAGGTTTTGGCTGTGCTCGACAAGTTGGAAGTCAAGCTCCTTCAGGTAGAGAAGGACTTGGAGGGCAAGAATTTACTCAAGGTCATCATGCGCAAATTCTTGCCAGCTGGTAACGCTCTCCTGGAGATGATTGTTATTCACCTCCCGTCCCCCACCACGGCTCAAAAGTACCGTGTCGAAACCCTATACGAAGGCCCAATGGATGACGAGTCCGCCATTGGAATTCGTGATTGTGATCCCAACGGACCTCTTGTTCTTTATGTTTCCAAGATGGTGCCGACCTCGGAGAAAGGTCGCTTCTACGCTTTCGGACGCGTCTTTTCTGGTACTGTTCGCGCCGGTCCAAAGATTCGCATTCAGGGCCCCAATTTCATCCCCGGCTCCAAAACCGACTCGTTTGTTAAATCTGTCCAACGCACCGTGCTCATGATGGGCCGTTCTATAGAGCCTATCGAGGATTGTCCAGCTGGGAACGTCGTCGGTCTTGTTGGCATCGACCAGTTCCTTCTGAAGTCGGGTACTCTCACTACTAGCGAGACAGCGCACAACATTAAGGTCATGAAGTTCTCCGTCTCTCCCGTTGTTCAGGTCGCTGTCGAGGTAAAGAACCCGAAAGATCTACCAAAGCTTGTCGAAGGCCTTAAGCGCTTGTCCAAGTCGGATCCTTGCGTACAGACCTGGATTTCGGATAACGGTGAGCACATCATTGCTGGTGTTGGCGAGTTGCACTTGGAAATCTGTTTGAAGGTTCGTGTCAGGCTCCTACGATGACTTCGCGACCTTCATAACCTACCACACAGGATCTCGAGGAAGATCACGCCGGTGTTCCGTTGAAGAAGTCAAACCCTGTCGTCGGTTATCGTGAGACTGTGAAAGCGGAGTCGTCAATAGTTGCCTTGTCTAAGTCACAAAACAAGCATAACCGTATGTACGTGAAGGCTCTTCCTCTGGACGAGGAAGTCTCTCAGGCCATCGAATCCGGAAAAATCGCGCCTCGTGACGATTTCAAAGTCCGAGCTCGTATCCTTGCCGATGAGTTCGGCTGGGACATTACGGATGCCCGCAGGATCTGGTGCTTCGGACCCGATACCACTGGACCCAACCTCTTGGTTGATATTACGAAGGGTGTGCAATACCTCAACGAAATTAAGGATTCCTGTGTCGCTGCCTTCCAATGGGCAACAAAAGCAGGTGTCTGCGCGGAAGAGAACGTGCGTGGTGTTCGTTTCAACATCCTTGATGTGACAGTAAGTTAATTCAATTGTGGTGTCGGGATACGCACTCATTCAGTGACTCAGTTGCACGCTGATGCTATCCATCGTGGTGGCGGTCAGATCATCCCTGTCTGCCGTCGCGTGTGCTATGCTGCTTGCTTGCTTGCCACTCCAGGCCTTCAGGAACCATGTATCTTGGTATGTCGCTGCACTTTTCTGTTTCCCTTTCATTAACTCTCTTGTAGTCGAAATTCAGTGTCCCGAGAACGCTATTGGTGGTATTTACAGTGTACTCAACAGAAGGCGTGGCCAGGTATTCTCCGAAGAGCAGCGCCCCGGAGTGAGTAGATCCACGATCATCTATTGTGACTTGCCTCTGAATTACCCGCAGACACCGATGTTCACTGTGAAGGCTTATCTTCCTGTCATGGAATCATTCGGTTTCACAGAGGCTCTCCGAAGTGCCACGCAAGGACAAGCCTTCCCACAATCCGTCTTCGATCATTGGGAATTGATGAGTGGATGTAAGTTGTACAGCTCATCCTTTCTCTTTAGAATCTTCCTTACCTCATCTCTCTTAGCCCCTCTCGATAAGGGCAGCAAGCTTGAAGATCTTGTGACAAAGATTCGCACACGTAAAGGTCTCAAGCCCGAGATTCCAACTCTTGACACATATTATGATAAGTGAGCATAATGTTGCATCGGTCTCACTGAAGTGTGCTGATTGAAATGTGAGATTGTAAACATTTGTTGTACGGGTCGGCAAACCAGGTCATGATCTTGTGATGCCTTACATAAGTAGAACATGGCTTGATTTTAGCTGTGTTGCAATCCACACTGGAACTAGGTGGTTGATAATATTGTGTAGCCGAAACGTTATCTACATGTAAAGATCACTAATTCAATGGATATTTTACTGATTTATAAGGGAAGGGTGCAACAAGTAATTCGCTCAAATTGGAAGTTACTCCTGATTCACTCATTCATGTCAGTTTGCTTTCCATTTACGTTTATCGTGCTGATTTCGGGGTTTCGACCACAATTGTCGTCATGAGCCGAGACGTCTGCGACGGTCTATCCATGTGCATGTGGACATACGTACTTGCTGTGGACAGCTCCTCGACCCATTCGATCAGCTGCCGTCGGTCTCAGGCCAAGGGAGGACTCCGAGGTCTCAAAGGCCCATCGTTTAATCATTACTCTGAGATTTGCGTTGAGCTTTGATGTTCCAATCGCACAGTTGGTCGAATAACAGATCTCTGTGCCTTCCTGTACCACAGATAACTGTGAGGTTGCATCCCGAGCTAAAAGCTGTGAGCTGAGGCTAGGGTGCCGGGCAAGATATCGTCCTCGTATCGCACCACTATTAATTTCTTTCCTACATCTGCCTGAAATCCACCCCCTGTTGTTGTAGTTCATCCAAAAAAAAAAGGCCAAGACGAGCAAGGACGGTTGTTCTACATAATTCTGCGGTACGGTGATTACAATTATATTCATCTGTTTCCGGGAACGAGGCCAATGAATCCAAGAACCGAACCACATTGTTTTCCTTTCGAAGAGCATGGATGGGACTCAAGCGGCGCCAGGGGGTGGACAAAACTAGAAATTAAGCAATAACGTTGTCACTGCTAGCATCGGGAGGCGGCTCAACAAGAGCAGGGTGTTGCATCGGGCACAAGGTAAAATCGTTGCGCCGCCGCATGTTCAGACAATGTCGGCATCACCGTGCGGATCCCTCCCTTCCCAGCAACTTTTCTTTCTTCTGGTGGTATGCGCTGACGGGCGAGAGCGGCTTTGCTCCTGAATGGTGATGCAAACAATAGTCAATATCTCTGCAAGAGGTAATCCTGCTAGGCTGTACTCACGGTCGGTTGAAAACAGACTCGGAACCAAGGAACATGAAAACGTCGTACACGATCGCACCGATCATTCCACCGCAGAGAGGTCCGAGGATGGGTACCCATAGCCAGTACTGATCTCTGTAGTTCCAGAGCACGCTCTTGTTATAGCCGACTATTGCGAGTGCTATACGGGGTCCTAGATCTCGCGCCTAGTAGGTAGTGGCGCTGATTTATAAAGTACTAGTGGACAAGACGACTGGTAGCAGCTTACAGGATTCAAAGCATATGCCGTTTGCATGCCAAGGGAAATTCCCTCTCCGAGGATGAGGATGAATAACGCAACCGGCAGGAGCCCTCCAGTTGGAGGAATATTCGTGTTGTCCGTAATGCCCAATACCGCAATAATCAGAATTGCCGTGCCGAGGAATTCGTCAAAGAAGCAAGCAGCGCTCGGCATGTAGTCCAATGCATACGTCGTGAAAAGCGATGCAGTTGCTTCAGTTCGTAACCCATGTCCTTCGAAGAGGTCGATGGCGTGGCTGTAATTAGCGTAGATAAGGAGGGCGCCGGATAGAGCGCCGAGAAGCTGGGCAGTGATGTAAATGGGGACTTTACGCCACGGAAAGCCACGGAATATCGCTTGGACAAGCGTCACCTAAGACCAAAACCATAAGGTGAGCCCAACGCGGAAAGGATCATCCCGCCCTTATGAGCGCTTACAACTGGGTTGATATGCCCGCCACTTCCGCCAGCAACCCATACACCTTGCGTTAAAACAGTGCGTCAGCATGATTTGGGACAGTGTTGAGGGCCAGGTGATATGCTCACCAACGGCCACTCCGATGGCCCATCCAAATGATATCGATAGATATGACTAAGGAGGGAGACTCAGGGCTCAGATTTCGAAACAAGATGAAGAACAACTAACGCCCTTCTGAGTTGAGGCAACTTTCGTGGAAGCTTAGTGATTTCAACCGCAATAATTAGTACATAAAATAGGATTCGGAAGAATATAAGAGATTGCATACATGAGAGGGTAACCTGACAATCAGCCCCTGTACCGAATCTACGGCGAGGATCCCGGACGATCTAAGGCGCCGACAACGAAACGGACGCGTAAACATACATTACTAGCAGCATCGTACCCAGGAATTCAGATGAAAAGTCTCTGAGGTATCTTTTACGATAGTAAGCCAGTTTGTTGGGATGTTCAGCGGAGAAGACACGGTCCTCCTCACGCTTCATCGAAGAGACATCCCCGACATCAGGTCTTTCTATGTCTTTCCTGTCTAATGAGCTCGATGACATAGCAGTATTTAGAGCTCAGAAGTGGGGAGGAAGGAGCTGTAGCCCTGAATGCGATTGGGTACTCCAGCAGGAGTGAAAAGTAGGAGCAGATAAAAGAGTGGCTTTTTATAAAGAACGGGTAGAAGCTAGAAAGTCCCCTCATCACGAGAGGGAGGTCATGCATCCTGTAATGATTAAATAGGTGGGCCACACGGATTGGTTGACCTCGCTCCGTAGCATCATGATCACCGCGTTCATCTCGGTGCTCACAGGAAAATCGATGTAGAGAATGCGATCTCAGGAAGAGGAGAAAACGCGGAGGACATGAGTGGAGATCCCTCATTCACGGCCGGCAAGTGAGAGCATGATCAGTCAACTTCGATTTGGCGTGCGCCCGCAAATTTCCGAATATGTGCGCATGCTCTCTATATAAGCCGCTCTAAGCATCAGATTTCGGTCAGAGTTGCGGAATTCTCGCGTGATTGCGAGTGGCTGGCTTGCGTGGGGAAGAAGACTCCACAGCCATTGATGGGTGGACATGTGGCCCTGCAGAACAATACTCTTTCTTAGAAAGATGAGCCTGAGAGTGAGCGTGTACCGGTCAACCATGTGGAGTAGGAAAGACCTCGTGTAATGTTACCGCTTGGATTCAGAAATATAAGTTTGATTCGACGCAAACATCTCCACCCAATCGAGCCTAAGCACGCAACTTTTAGATTTCAAATGGCGCTGCAAAGCTTAAGATACCAGTAAGGTGACATGAACGCGTCAACATGCACAACACTCAGTCAGCCCCAGTCCTAATGGAGTGACACCGATCGGAGCTTGTGTTGAATTCTTATATTCACGATACACCCGTCTAGTTGGCAATATTGACTTATTGGTAAACTCAGGTGGAGTCCGCACCGTCCTGCTACTACTGTTCTCGGATGAAGTTCAATGCTGAGCCAGCACGCAGCCAGTTGAGCTGGTCGGGGGACATGGTATGTCTAGTCTCAATTAGGATTACCTCTAGCCCAGCACCCTTCACGTCGCTCTGTTGTGGCCGCTTCGTCACTTTCAACTTGATGGTCGCTCCTGGAATACCATTGAATACCTGTGGGTGAAAGATTATGTGCGAGATTTTTGTTAGCATTAATTCCGTTAGCGAACGGGCACATGGGAATGTGAGGCGTAGGAGGTCTCATTGAGAAGAACCAACATACATCGTCAAGACCCACGGTCTGGATAAGATCGCCCGAGGAGATAAGCGAGTAGTCTTCCTTGTTCACAAACCAAAGTGGAAGAATGCCTTGTTTCTGGAGAGTTCAATGATGAATCAGCCATTCACTGGTCGGAACAGCCGTTCCATTGATAGCGACATACTTTAAGGTTAGTCTCGTGGATTCTGTGTGAACACGAGTTTATGATAACGGAAGGAGAATTTCCGTTAGCACATATGCATCCAATACCAGGATCCTATCAAGCATTCAACTCACCGAGCGAAACTCCTAGCAACAATGAGGGAACCACCCAAAAAGCGTGGCTGCATTGCCGCATGCTCCCGGGCGCTCCCTTCGCCGTAATTTTGATCGACAATGAGCGCCCAAGGCTGAGATCGCATCTTGAATCTTTTGGCCAGATCCGGGATGGATGTCTCTTCCCCGGTGAGATGGTCTACTACGACATTTACTTGACCGTTCTCATCATTTGTCGCCTGGTGATACGTATTAACATATTGAAAAATCCAAGATGCTGGGGCGCCGGCCCACCGTAAATAGCGTGTTCTCGGAAATGTTTGTTAAATGGCCCTTAAATTTCAGCCACGGGCCCTATGATTCATGAATGAAGCAAACATCATGAGTTTCGGGCGCTCCGATGGGCAAAGTAGCGATGAACTGATTACTCACAGCCGCAGAAATGTGATCCGTTGTACACTTGCCCCGGACACGCATAAGGACTTCCATAGTCGGAAGTTCCAGGTTTGTACCTGTGAAGTGAGACGGGAATGGTTTCAAGGCTTCCAATCGCGTTGATGCAGGCGAAATGATGACCTCCGTCTCGGGGTGTGGAATAGGCGATGGGGGAGGGGTATAGGCAGTTTTGCCTTTGAGTTGTTATGAGCGCCTTTCAAGCATACATAGGGGACACTTGACGCAGGCCCGTGACGTACCAGGTTCAAAGCCATTTTCAGGAAGATTGCTACCGCTCGGTGGGTCAAACTTGAATGGTTGTCCATGAGTATCTATCAATGAATCCGTCATGGGGTTGAATGTCAGATCTCCAGAAAAGGCCATGGCAGTGACAATCTCCGGAGAAGCAAGGAAGTTCATCGTCTTGCTATTTCCATCATTTCTCCCCTTAAAGTTGCTGTAAAGAGACTCTTAACGATAACGGCCCGATGATTAGGAATGCACTCACCGATTGAACGATGTGAGGATGGCTGCATGACCGTCAGACGGAGGTTTTCCAAGTTGTAAGTTACGTACCATTGTCTTCGCCTTTCTTCTCATCCCGTTTCCATTGGCCGATGCATGGCCCACATGCATTCGCCAGCACGACAGCGCCCACATCTTGAAGAACGTCAGTCAAACCGTCTCGCTCGATTGTGGCCCGAATTTGCTCTGAACCAGGTGTGCACAGAAAAGGGACCTAATCCTTGTGATGAGCAAAAATACACGTCGGCGTTTTCAGTTTACCTTCGCTTTGAGACCAGCGGATTTAGCTTGCCGGGCGATACTTGCGACGCGAGTCTGGTTTCCGCCACATATCAGACAATGGTTAAGTCGTGTGTTACGGAGTACTGACCATGTCCTCATATGAGCTATTGGTGCATGAGCCTATGAGACTGCTGATAGCTCGTTTCTCCACCCATTTTCGGCAACGAAGGAGCCAAACTTGGATAAGGGCGTCGCCAGATCCGGAGTAAATGGGCCATTAATGGTTGGTTCCAGTTCAGACAAGTTCTGCGGGGAGTGCGCCTGCATATGAGATGGATTTCCAAATAGCGATGTCACCCACGATCTCTATTGATTCATCGTACTCAACACCCTCATCTGCCCTCAAGAAGCCACGCTTAGCTGCCCACGAAGCAGCCTCGGCAACGGGCCCACGACGAGTCGCACGAAGATACCTCCCCATATTCTCAGTGTACGGGAATGTGGAAGTTGTCGCGCCGACCTCCGCACCCATGTTTGCAATCGTCGCAAGCCCAGTGGCTGACTGTGCATGCACCCCTGGTCCAAAGTATTCCAATATACGCCCGGTACCTCCCTACTGAAACAATTAATGACGTAGTCTTGACCACTCTCAGCAGTCTACACATACCCTCACAGTGAGTTTCCCGCAAGATGCAATATAACATCCTTGGGTGTTGTCCATCCGCTCATCGTCCCCGTAAGATGAATCCCTAAACGATTATACAGAAATGTCCATCGCCCAAAGAAGGGACATACCGACGATGTTGGGGGCTTTCAGCTCCCATGGAGTCCCAGTCATAGCATCCACAGCGTCAGCACCCCCGACTCCAACAGCAATACATCCCAAACCACCCGCGTTTGGTGTATGTGAGTCAGTCCCGAGCATAAGCGTACCCGGAGCAGCGTAATTTTCAAGGACAATTTGATGTATGATCCCAGATCCGGTGCCCAGAATTCAATGCCTGAAGACATGTCAGAAATACGGCGGTGATCGGCTATGAGCTTACCATATTTCTTGGCTGCGCTTTCCAAAAAATTGAATACTTCAATGTTATTCTCGATTGACCTCTATCATATACACGCATCAGAAAAGGTTGCTCAGTCAGGTATGATGGGTTCTTGCACACTTTCAGATCTGTCGCAGCCCCCACATTTGCTTGTATGAGGTGATCGCAATGGATAGAGGCGGAGACAGCGGTGGAGGGGAGCCCGCACGTCATGAATTGCAGTCTCCGAGTTTTTTACATTTAATTTTCCATACACTGGTACTGGATGAAGTACTCACAGTGCCATCCTAATGAAAGAGACGGAGCGTGAATCAGGGTGATACAAAATGTCAAAATGGGGAAATACTTGCTGGGCAGAGGCATCCTGCATTGCGACGCGAGCAGGCTTCAGTTGCAGATATCTTTCTCCACGCACTATTCCATTGGCGCCTGCACCATCCAAAGATTTAGAGGGGTCATCCAGATGAGAGAACAATATCTTTTCCGCGAGGGAAAGCGGCCTTCCTCCAAGGTAGTGCTGCTGGACGTGCTCGAGCTTCTTTACAAGAGCGGATATGGTGGGGTCAGCGACGTGCAGTCTTTGTCCTGTAAGGAAGAGTGCGTTGCTAGAGCTCTTTTTGAATAGAACGAGAGAAGTCTTTGTATGTTCCTGATACTTTTATGGGGGCCCATAGTGCCAGATTATGTCCAGCACCCAAGAAAACGAGGGACAGTGATCGTAATTCAGATCTGGCCATTTCCCACGCTGTCAACAAGTTCAAACTCTGAGAAACGGCAGTCAGCACCAATCCACGGCTAACCGTGCATCTTTGAAACCTTCTATATGATGGATTTTGATTTTGTTCATTGGCCACTGGACATGATATGCCCACGTCTGGTGAAGCACCCACACTGAACAGCTGAGCAGCAGTTTTTCTTGGTGAACCGGAGACTCCCTACTCCCTAGGGAGCCGCGCGTGCATAACCCAGGCAGAGGTTTTCCCCCCTCGGCTGCTATTTTCTCACCCATGCTAGTTTGTAACCAGCGAGTCTCATTCTAGTGCAGAAGGGTACTGTAACCAAGACTCGCCATCTGCAATGCTGCAATGGGTTCACGTTGCGACCCATTTTCCCCTCACTTAAGTCTATAAGACGGCTCCAGTACGTCATCTATTAGTTAGATGATAATACAATATACAAGGAGAGCACGTCTTACCTGCGGTACGTCGTCTATGTTAGATGTACCACAGTATTGGATGTGTCATATTTATAAGATGAGAAACAAAAAGTAACAAGGGGAAGAAGTTATAGTTGAGTGGCAGGTGCGGACGCACGCTTTGAGCAGCGGGTCAGATGCTTTGGGCAGGCTGAGATAAGGGTAAAGATCGGGTGCTTTGAGCGGGGAATTGCTTCGGCTTCAACAACATGCGCTGGGAGCTTTTGGTTCTCTTCGGTTAGCCCACCTCGCACCTCTCGTCACTTTCCCCAGGCCCTCTGTTATCCTTTCTTCTGGAGCTCATTTACACAAGCTGTTCATCTCCAGAATGATTCCACCGCGGCGGAGCTTAGGCAGGTAGGCGGAGCTAAATCTGGTGTATATACTTCTACACGCACGCGGTTGCATGCTATTCTACATGTAATGCCGCTAGTAAGGGTGGGCGTGGATAGCATCCAGCTAGATAGGATCAGAGTTGGCTGAGCTCATCCATGGCGTATTGGCAGTATTGGATCCGCTCGTATAGCTGAAAGGTCTATGGATGCTTCCTTCTCTGCATCAACTTCTCCTATCAACATGCTGAAAATGTTAATCATAGTTAGTGCAGTGACTGAGGGCCACACATCATGGCATAACTTTATAGATGAGAAGTCAGGGAATGCCCAGCAAAACATAGCCGTGGCAGGGAGGGAATAGGGAGGGACAGAAGCAAAACTCACATCATATCACCTTTCACCAGGTACAACCCAAGAGGGACCTCTTCCACTGACTCATCTGCACTGTATATCCGTTCAGTGGAGTTTGACAAGACAACATTCGAACGCTGATCAAATCCAGATAGCGTGCCCTAGATATAAAAACAGATATCATTACAGCCGGCGCGCCCACCAACGAGGAGCTAATGGGCTCACAATGATTGTGCGACCATCTTGAAGTACTAACAGTACTTGACCTAGAATGTTCATTGAGAATGCAGTGACGCGTCCAACACGCTTCTATAGCTCACTATCCACATATCCTACAAGACTAGACATGAGTGCGATGGGCGGGGGGGAGTGTGTCCTTGAGCAGGCCAAGTGGTGTGACCAATATGAATGCGCCTGTGATGGATGGAGTTTGCCGAGTTGGGTTTACGTGAGCGTGGGAATTGGACGTCAGTTTCACCTCCCGGCGGACAGGCGCGCTCGAGTCCTTTTGCTTTCAAGTTGGACAAGTCCCCAGACTAGGAGTACAGCTCTGTGTCGGAAGAAAGGAAATGTTTCCTTTCACAACGCGACAGTGGTTTTGGTTTATGAATAGCTCAATGGTTCAGTGTCAGACATTCCGCTGAAGTGTGTCGCACGGACTTGGTCCGCCTCTATGCACTCCATCGCGTCATTCTCATTCGAGGCGGGCTCTTCATTTTTAGTCGTGACTGGAGAGAGAGATGACCTTAATATATTCAGATTGTCTTCGAAGACCCATTACCCAGGCTGGTGCGTGCTCCGACTAGCCGCACACGTCCATTCTACCACTGTCGCCCAGTTTCGCTGAACCCTTTCCTACCTAACCTAGCTCTTGAGGTATACTTATCGCGTTTGTATGGTGGGGGGGTCCCAACCCGAACTATTCTCTCCCGCCTCACTTGCAACCATTACATCCGTTGACGCGGTCATATCCCGATCCGCCACCTGAGTGTGTTCCTCCGGAGGTTCACCCAGCCATGACTCATTTCTTTATGTCTCTTTAGCGATGGCTACATACAGTATCTCTCTATAGATCATGCATAACAAATGCGGCATCCGAAGCCCTCAGCCTCGCAATGCAATCTACTACTAGTTCATTCAGAGTGAAAGGGATTGGCAAGGAAATGCTGTGCCAAACGTCCTCAGCTGCGCTCCAAAGTCTCGGAGTGCCGCCAGCACAATTGATCCGCAGTGCCCAAGCCTGAGCCCGGCGCGGAACCACAATAATTTCCGTGTTGGTAGTGGAACGTGCTCGCGGCGGGGGATGATGCATGGTGGAGCGCTTACGGAACATCAGCGGTTGCGCAGTACTTGAGGCTATTGGCCCGATATATTGCCAGAGCTTGGCCAAGGAGAACAAAAGCAGGAACATGCGCAATTCCACCAACAGCCGACTGATAAACGAGCCTTTGTCGATCTGCTAGGCCAGCGATATCCTACAAACCTATTTAGAAGCAGCCGATGGCCAATAAGCGCCGCAGTACCGGCGCTTGCCGTCAACTGTCACAATTGGGTCACAATTCGCATACGAAGCAATCGTGGTTCTTTGAGAGTCCCTTGTCTCGTTCGCGTTTTCAACTACAGTACTCAGCTCGCACACAGATCCAAATGGCCTGATACTGCTTCTCGTGCGGCAGGACAAAGTAATCTATTGCTGTACAGGATCTCAACCCCCTATCTTGCGCGTTAAGCTTCTTTTCTCTCCATCGACCTACTTGCTATTTGCCATGACATTGAGGCGAAAGAGTAATGACTCAGGAAAGAGATCGATCGTCTCCTTGCAGCGGGAGGCGACTCGGCGATCCCAATTCTCACAGCCGTCAATTCCGCGGCTGGCGTGTTCCCTCCTTTACAGAGCGCGACTGGCGGTGCCCTCTTCATCCTCGATGAGGCTAAAGTTGGTCTATTCTGTGCTGGGTCGTCAATGAAAGCTCACAGTTCGCGTTGTGCAGAAGTTCAAAGAGAACAAGAAGGAATGGGACGATTTTGGGAAATACGTGGCTGACAATGTGGCCGAAGTAGTTGCAGCCATAAAGTACTACGATGCGTCAACGGAAGAGGCAAAGCTATGGGTAGAGAGCGCTACAAAACTCGACGGGTGGGCTGTATTCCTCCCCGACAGTCTTGAATATTCCGCCCACATGAGGTCCCACAGCGTGTTACAGGAGATTAAGTGCAAAGTCTGTGGAAGACTCGCAAAAATAGAGAAACGTTCGACCGTCAGGAACGCAATGTCCTACTTGAGAGACCCAGGAAGGATCGATGGTCTAAAGAAAGATCTTGATAAAGCATTGACATCATTTCAGGTAAGTTACAGGTATCGTTCTAAAAGGTTCTGATTTCTGTTCGATGTAGCTTAGGACGAACTTAGTGATTGGTCGCGAACTGTCATCCTTACGAGCTGACTCACTTCTCAACCAACTTCCATGCCCGATCGCATACCACGATCCAACCAAGGCATGCCTGGAAGGCACCCGGAGATATTTGATCGAACACATCATGAGGTGGTGTCACAACATGGATGATAGTACGAAGCGGGTAATGCTGCTGACCGCTGTGGCCGGTGCCGGGAAGACATCCGTCGCACACTCGGTCGCGGAGGAGTGTACACAAGAGGGCATCTTATTGTCGATCTTCTTTTTCAGAGTAGGCGAGCAGACACGACCAGACCATCTATTTAGCGGCATAGCTAAATCCCTAGCAAAACATGACCCTGACTGCCGTGCCTCCATCATATCTGCTCTTCAGAAAGATCCGAACCTTTCAACCGCGACTTTCACAGAGCAATTCAAAAAACTGGTGGCTAAACCTATCAAAACATCACCCTCCGATCGTCCCATGGTGATCATTATTGATGCTTTAGATGAGTGCAACTCGGAGGACAAAGTCTTCGAACACCTTGCCGATATACTCCGGAAGGAGGTACCCAGCTTACCGTCCAACATCAAATTCTTGGTCACCTCGAGGCAATTCGGCCTTGTTGACCGTTTCTTCTCACTTAATTATCCTATCGAACGTCTCAGCATCAATATCTCGGATGATGCTAATGTGCAGGACTGTGGCATCTACGTGCGTGCCCAGCTCCGCGAACTGATGGATGTGCACCCTAACTTGAAGGAAGAGCTGGAGGGAGAGGATGAGGATGAAATGGCTCGGCATATAACGGGACGAGCGGGTGGCTTATTCATTTGGATCAGTACCATCTTCCATTACATGAAGGTGGCGAATGGTGATCCTATGAGGATGCTGAAGAAATTGCTCAACACTGGTGTACACCAATCGAATGTTGCTGCCGAGGAAATGATGGATAGGCTATATGCGAGCATTTTGGAAAAGTGTAATTGGAAGGACGGAGATTTTGCGCACGACTACCCAATAGTGATGGGAGCGATCTTGGTTGCACAACAGCCACTCTCTGCGGCAGCTTGGGATGCCATTTTGTCGCCTTTCCTGACGTCTCCTATTCGATGCACATTGACGGAACTCGCTCCGCTCCTGTCAGGGGTCAAGGATCGTCACATGCCGATCCGAATCTTACATCAATCCTTTCGTGACTTCATTGTGAACCGAATCGACGTCAACCTTTGCCGCTATGCAGTAGATGCGACAAGAGAGAATGCTAGGGTTGCCCTACGATGCACCCAGATCCTGAACCAGGATCTTTCCTCTGTAGAGGGCCTAGGACTGATTGAAAGCTTGACTGTACGGGATGTATTGCCATCTATCCCTCCAGAAAAGTTGTCCGAGCACTTGCATTACGCATGTCGTCACATCGTTTATCACCTCTGTGGAGTTCAGGAGCCGACCGAGATGCTTAATGACTCAGTTCGCATGTTTTTCAATCTGCAAGCAACTCGCTGGGTGGAAGTCTGTGTGGGGATGGAAGGCTACATTGGTATCTCATCACTCCCCGAGTGGGCAACGGTATGGATTATCAATCGTGTTAGTGAAAGTGGCTCATGATTTTTCAGCCCACTGTTGACCAACGGTCAACATGTGCTATCCATAAGTTGGCCAACATGCTTACCCAGCTTGGACTGAACTTGGCATTTTTTACCAGAATGCAAGAGGCACACGAGGCAGAGAACGATTCTGTTGTACTCTGCCGTTACTTTGTTTCCCTAGATCCGGAGACCTACACCCCAGATCTGGCCAGGTCACTTAACAATTTGTATTTTTCCCTTTCCAAACTCGGGAGGCGCTCCGAGGCGCTCTCATCCATTAAAGAAAGTGTCGAACTCCAACGCCAGCCAGGATCACACACCCCGAGTTTAGCTACGTCACTCAACAATCTATTTCATGCCCTTTCCGAACTTGGACACCATCCTGAGGCACTCTCGTTTATCGAAGAATCCGTTGAACTCCAACGCCAGCTAGTCACCACTCGCGCATCTTGTACCCCAAATTTGGCAGCGTCACTCAACAATCTATATTCAGCTCTTTCCAAACTCGGACAGCATTCCAAGGCACTCCCAATTATCGAAGAAGGCGTCAAGCTCTGCCGTCAGCTAGTTGCTGTTCACTCAGAATTATTCATTTCTGATTTGGCTTATCGCTCAACAATCTATATGACGCACTTTCTCACCTCAGGCGGCATTCTGAGGCGCTCCCATCGATCCGGGAAAGCGTTCAGCTTTGGCGCCAGCTGGTTATTATTCACCCAGTGCCATACATCCCATGTTTGGCCATGTCACTCAATAATCTAGGTGAAGCTCATTCCGAACTCGGGCAGCACTCCGAGGCGCTCCCAATCATCGAAGAAAGTGTCAAGCTTTGTCGTCAGCTTGTTGCCGTTCACCCAGAGTTATACATCCCAAATTTGGCTGGGTCACTCAACAATCTATTCGGCGTTCTTTCCAATCTCGGACGGCATTCCGAGGCGCTCCCACCCATCGAAGCAGCTGTAAAGCTCCGACGCCAGCTAGTTGCCCTTCACCCAGAATCATACACCCCAGATTTGGCTATGTCAGTCAGCAACCTATCTGCGGCCTTTCCAAACTTGGACGGCATTCTGAGGCGCTCTCATCTATTGAAGAAGCCGTCAGCCTTCAGCGCCAGCTAGCTGCTGTTCATCCAGGATCCTACACCCCAGATTTGGCTAATTCACTCAACCATCTATTTCATGCTCTTTCCAAAGTCGGACGGCACTCAGAGGCGCTCTCATCTATCGAAGAAGGCGTCAAGCTCCTACGCCAGTTAGTTGCCGCTCATCCAGAATCATACACCCCAGACCTGGCTGCGTCACTCAACAATCTATATAAAGCTCTTTCGGGACTTGGACGACACTCCGAGGGGCTCCCATTTATTGAAAATAGCGTCAAGCTCTGCCGTCAGCTAGTGCCGTCCATCCAGGATCATACACCCCGGGTTTAGCTACATCACTCAGCAATCTGTATGATGCTCTTTCCGAGCTCGGACGGCACTCCGAAGCGCTCCCATTTATCAAAGAAAGCATTGGGCTCCGCCGACAGCTAGCTGCGGTCCATCCAGAATCACACAACCCATATTTGGCGACGTCACTCAACAATTTATGTCGCACTCTTTCCGACCTCGGACGGCATTCCGAGGCGCTCTCATCCATTCAAGAAAGCGTCGAGCTTCTACGTCAGCTAGTTATCATTCACCCAGGATTGCACACTCCAAATTTGGCCACGTCACTCAGTCATCTATATAATGCTCTTTCCAAACTTGGACGACACTCCGAGGCGCTCCTATTTATCGATGAAAGTGTCAAGCTCTTCCGACAACTAGTTGCCGTTCAGCCTGAATCATACACCCCAGATTTGGCTGTGTCACTCAATGGTCTATACAAATCCTTTTCCAAACTTGGGCGGCATTCCGATGGACTGCCATTTATTGGGGAAAGCGTCAAGCTCCTCTACCACCTGAATGCTGTTCACCCAGGATTATACGCCCCAACTTTGGCTTTGTCACTCAACGATCTGTGTGACGCTCTTTCCAACATCGGGTGGCATTCCGGGGCACTAATGATCGTAACCCAAGCGACCTAGGTAGGCTCTAGTTCCCCCGTTCCCACCTACCGCAGTATTTCTCACTCTGCTCTCTACATCATTATATGTGCGATTAGTGAAGTTGAAATCGAATCCTCGAGTTGGGAAATTTAGCCTGAATTATTAGCAGAACGTAGAGCTTTTGCAACGTTTGCTGGCTGCTGCTTTCATGACAGTCCGTTGCTCTCGATATCAAGAATGCTTGGGATTTAATGGAGGAACGAGATTAAATGAGACTTGTGTGCCCTGGGTCTTAGCACCTCGGTTTCCCTCGTGTCCGCCGCACACCTGGGACTTTTTCTGACCTCGCGTACGCTATACATACTTACGGCTCTTCGAATGCTAATCATTTGCGTGCGTTCAGTTTGTGTCCCTTATCATTTCACAGTATTTTCAGGTGTTTTTCGTCGCCTCTTTGATCGGGTACCTTGTTTCTTTTCTTTGCTCGTGTCCTGGTGGATCCTTCGGCCTCTGTGCGTTCGGCTTTAATGCGTTCGGCCCTCGTGCCTTCGCACTTGCGCTTCGGCCTCTGTGCCTGCTTTCATGTCAGCACTTTGCGTCCGTTGCCACGCATCAGCCTGTCTTCTTCTTCCGACTCTTTGGTTTTTTGTTAACAGTTCAACCATATATTTACGTCTTCGGTGCTTGCCTTTGCTCTCTTTCATTTCTCGGTTTCTTCCTTGTCGTTTGTACCTTCTCTTTCTTCTCTCCTCGACTGTTGCTGTCTTCTGTATTTTTCGCCTCCCCCACCACCATCCCCTGCACCACCTAAGATTACTCTTCTTGGGACGCTTGATATCTTAGTTTGTCGGGGTCGTCGCCACACTACCTCACTGTTCCAGGTCGCCCGTTGCGCACAAGCCGTCCATTTGTCCAGGATACTCCCATCGCAGATGTCCTGAACATTTTCAAGCACCATCATAAAGGATGGGACCCAGGCTAATGATTAAACACTCCTACGATACATGTAGCACGGGCAAACCAGGAAATTGATCGGTCATTAGTATAGTGTTGTCGCCCAAGAGGTACATATCAAGAAATGTGGTATGCATCAATCTGGTAACTGCTCGGCATAGACAATTGTGTGCAGGGTTACCTAATCGTAGCTATGTCTACTCTGGATTTGAAAGGTGAACCACACCATAATTGGGCTGCAGGAGTACCGAGGGACTAGAGAGCATGAGCAAAAAGATGTTTAATTCGCTTAGTAGAAGCCATGCATCCCTGCAGAACCGATCTTATTTCTCATATGCGTGGGATGCGATATATACCGTGATCAGAATAAGTAACATTGGCAGTGAATATATAGAATATACACGTTCAACTACCGGGTAGTTTCACTTTCGTTCAAATGAGCGCTCCGCTGCCGAAGAAAGGAACGCAAACAATGGGGGAGGTTCGGAGGTGCAGTACAACCGTGGCTTTGAGTTCAAGATGAAGGGCACTTGCCGATCGCTCCAAGGACATGCGATGGATCTGAACGACCTCTCTCGTGCCCCGTGATCCATGCTGTCTGCAAGCTCGTCCTCAGAGAAAATACAAACGCATCTCTACCAATCATTCCTCAAGGGCTCAACGTCGGATGTTTCACTGAAATGTGTCGCACAGACTTGGTCCTGCGTCTACGCGCTCCATCGCGTCATTCTCATTCAAGGTGGATTTTTCAATTCGCTTTTTAGTGGTAGCTGGAGAGAAGGATCACGAGATAGAGACTACCTTAACATTATTCAGATTACCTTTGAGGACCCAAACATCACCAGGGCTGGTTCGTGGCTCCTGACGTTGTCAACCAGCTTCGCTGAACCCTTTCCCTGCCAACTTAGCTTTCGAAGTATGCCTGTCGCGTCTGTATGGTGGAGGTCCCGAACTGTCTCTTTCGCCTCACTTACAACCATCTATTTCGCACCCATTGACACAATCATACCCCAACCCACCACCCGAGCATGTCCCCCCGGAAGGTCACCACCCAGCCACGCCCCGTTTCCTTTTATCACTTCTGGCAACGGCTACATATCTATCTATGCCAAATGTGGCATCCCAAGCTCTCAACCTCATAATGCAGTCTATTGGTCCATTCACAATAATGCGTTATCTAAACTTTGCCATCGGGAAAGGGATCGGTGAGGAGTTACCTAACGATCGGCCCACCGCCGTAGGGTTAGACAATGTCGGGAAACCAGTTCTTGCTAGGGAAATGCACCATAGAGCGTCCTCAGCTGCACGCCAAAGTTTCAAACACTCCCCTTCCAGTAGCACTGTCAGCTACAAGCAGCGAAGCTTCGGCAAGGATAGCATCAGCGAATCCGTCCTGAAGGCGCAAGGCATCATTCCGGATGAAGACGACGCGATGACGATACCAGATAATATATCTTACATCACCATTGGGACTCAAGATGATAATGAAGGCATCATGACATCGACTGCACCCCATTACTTCTATGGGACCATAGGCAACCTTATTGGGGAGGCGTGCGCGACGTGGCTTTGCAGGTGGGGAATAGATATGTTTCATTGGGAACAGGTGATTCATGCCGCGGAGAAAGCAGGCGAGAACGCGCCGCCTTCCTCTCCCGCATGTTTACCAAGTGGCCAACGATTTCCCCTCATTACTGCACAAACTCTCGTTTCATTGAGGGCTTTAAATTCACCATACGGCACTCATCCTGTCATCTGGGGCCCCCAAGGTTTGTCAGTACAATGGATCAGGGCGATTATATCGAGCGATTCATTCTTTGTACCTAACGAGTTTGAGCGGTATGCCTTTGCTTCCCAGGTGTATCGCTTCCGTCGGTTGTTGACCGTAGAGGCTGGAATGAGCGCGAGTCTTGACGACCAATGCGAATGGGATCTGCTATTTAAGACAGGTATTTATTACACGCACATGGTAGGATGCGGTTGCCAGCACTTTCGCTTTTCTGTCTTATCTGTAATTCTGCCAGACTTTCGACCAATTACGGGAGATCGAGAGAGATCGCTTGGTCCGTCTCCAAGATCTTGCTCTCGCACATTGGAAACAATCACTTTTCCGAAGTGTCATTACTGCTAGGCCAAACAATGGGGTTGCTAGCTCTCCTGGAGCGAATGCCTCCACGGCCTCCCGAGAGCTAGGCATTGCAATCACTGCAAACGAGATTCGGGCCTTACTTGAGGAAAATGGGGATTCGAACCAGGAGGTATCCCAGAAGCCTTACTTCCCTGTGCTAGAAGACACCTCTTCAAGAACGGGAGATTATCTTTCCACTGCTGGTAGCGGACCAGCCGATTATATGCCTAATCTCATGACAGCCTGGGAGCAAGGTGATATGACTCCTAAGCCTGGCAGTAAAACTCCTAGGAGGGCAGCAGATGAAAGCACATTCTTTGGAGTTGCCAATGTAGTGAAGACAGCGAAGGTAATTGCAAAAGAGGATGTGGCTGGTACTCAAAAATGGACGGAGTATGAGCCAATTCGGTGTGTCGGTCAATGGTCCTTCTGCATTCAAAGCTCTAACGACGCATTCCCCAGATTCTCGTGCGAGTGGTGGGGTGTGGAGAATCTCAAAGAAAAGTCCAGAATGCACAGTACCACGATCGCTTATGCTGGAAGTTTCTACAACGTTTACCTCCAAGTGGTCCGTCGAAAAGGTGTACAGCTCGGGCTGTACCTAAGTCGCCAGAGTATTGTCGATCCTATACCTGTTGCCTCGTCCCCTCCAGGAGTCCATGATCGACCGCACACGTTATCTATGCCAAACTCGCTATCCAGAACTCTGATGTTACCCACACTCCAAATATCGACCCGAGTGAGTCACCTCACAGGGGCGGTGTCCACCTCTCCTCCAACCCCGGCATCACCCCTAACACCGGATAGCACTCTCATAAATTCACCGCTCTCTCATGCCTCATCCATTCCTAATCTTCAATCCTCGTCGCTGGCGACTGCGTACATGTCCGCCTTCCGCGCTTCATCTCCGGGAAGCTCAACTACACCCCGAGCGGAATATAGAGATCCCCGTCCAGTGTTGAGAGCTTACTTCAGCATCATGAGCCTGAGTGCGACAGGGACGAGTATGACGACGTTCAGCTCGAGTCCGGACGATTTCGGAGTCTCCCAGAGTTGGGGATGGAAGAGTGGAACATGTCTGGAGATCCCTGTCACAGAGAACACGTCAGAAAATGAAAGCGTGGACGTTGGGGAGCAAGGGGTTTTGGTCATCCCAGCCATTGCGCAGTGGAAAAGAGAACTCCATAGTGTGCGGGCGACGGTTATGATCGGCGTTGTATAGTGGTTTTTCTATTCTTTTCTTTTCTTCTCCACATCAGAATCTGTCACGAGTTTGATTGCCAGACTTCATGCCCAGCATCCTTACTCCACTCACAGGGCTTTCTAAAATACTCCAGGATTTTTTAGATGGATTAGTTTTTACATCGTGTAAAAGATCGGAAGTTACTCTATGTCACAACAAACATGTCACGGTAACCAATCTATTCGTCCATTCACCCCTTCAGCCCTGAAGATCCCGTTCTCCACGACATTCAAAGCTGATGTGACACATGCTTCCAACAGGGGTATCCCGGGATGGGCGTACGACCCACAAAACCAAATTCCTGAGAATGTTGTGGCGTCGTCACCCCCCCCAAATACGGCTTCAGATCTTCCCCTCGATTGTGCTGTGTCATCCTCATTTTGAGCGTGTAGTTTTCCAACGCCTTGAAGTCTTCCTAGTCTTCTCCTCCGCTTTCTCGAGAAGAAAAAGGGCCAGTCTCTGACGTTGAATTTGATGCCTAAGATTGGGAGGTGGACTGAACATCCACTCCAGTGAAATAAGGATTCATACTCTTCTATCATCAGGCTGCGCTGCGCCAACTTGGATCGAGGAGTGAGGACTGCTCGTTCAAGCCTAGCAATTGATAGGATCGTTGATTTGTGTGGTGGAATGATAGGATTCGTGGTTTGATAAATACCCGTCCACGAGGAACGATGGGTTTCACCCATTCTGTGCGTATCGGATTTATAGACAATGTGTGTGGCCATCGTACATGACGGAGGCACGCACGAGAGATCTGCGCTTGAATTGCTCTTAACTGACCTGGGGAAGTATTGTGACACTGGAGAAGCAGCACTGGCTAAATTCAGGTCCCTCTGATCACTTGGATGGCTAGGAATGAAGCGATCATCTGTATGATTGATCACGGTGTTCGGTACGTATTTGAATGTATTTAAGCATTCCATCTGGGCGTCCACCACCCTTCTTCGTAGGGATTTGGGGGGAAGAGTGGAGCGATACGCCCCTAGGATACGTGATGCACTGTTTGCTTGGGTAGCAAATACAATATGATCGAAACCTGAAATCGACCGAGTTGAAGGAACCTCTGACGAATGCGATGATTCTTCGAAGATAATCTTGGCGGTACCTGGATTTCGAGGATCGTCGCATATCGAAGTAATGGTAGATGAGAGATGAATATTCTGAGGCTCGAGAGGCCCTACTAATCTGGCGATAGCGTCCCGCACTCCATTCGTAACGACATAATGGTTCGTGAAATGCGTACGCCAGATGTATTCTAATCACGTGTGGAACGGCTTAGCGAGTTCCGCGGTCTGAGAAAATGTGATCCGACAAACCTAAAATTTCTGGAGCAGGATGTTGATAGATATCTTCTTCTGCGGCCGTACAAAGCGCAGAAAATAAGGGGCGGACAATGGAGCGAATAAACTCTAACCAAGCGATATCCGCTTTCGTCCACCTGGTAAGAGGCCCGCGGGGGGTAGTTCTTAATGCCCAGTCCCCAAAAGTCTCGGTGCTGTCCTTTGAATAAAAAATGGGGCAAGAAAGAATGGCCAGGCGAATGAAGTTGAACAGGTACAGTAATGCTGACAAGGCGAAGAGAAAGAGGAATGGAAGTGTTATGCTAAGGAATTGTAGCATAACAACGCAGTAGTTCATTTGCGATTGTATTGGAGCCCTAGCGCGACGTCGCGATGGAACGCTTATGCCGCCAAGAGCTGATCTACCGTTATAAAGGAACCATGGTTGCAGGGATAATGAATTGTCAGTTGAAGAGGTTGGGTGGAGATTCGAGAAGGAGTATGAGAAGTTCGCTGTACGAAAGGCGACTCCGAGGTGCGTGTAGAGAGCAAGAAGGAAAGGATAGTAACCTGGCAACAAGGATTTCAGTATTCGTGAAAGTCACTTGGGCGGCGGAGGCACTTGCCTCCTTGAAATGATCTCATAGGCACATCAACTCTCAACTCAACCGAATCCTTCGTCAAGAAGGTAGAGAGATGGAGTTGAGTCCATCCCAATTGTTGAAGCCTGAGTGGAGCAAATATGGAGAAATATAGCGTTATTCCTTGTGTATGCGCTGAATGAAATGATGGAAATCCACCTTCTCGAAGAGGTGGACCTCAAAACGCGTCCGGGTGTCGTCAACGGTTGTGGAAAGTAAATACGCTGAAGTTAGACCAGCGAGTCCGGAGCCAATGACGGCGACTTTGACGACTCGAACGCCACCTGGTATCATCCTGGGAGCTTTAGAGAGTGCTCAAGAGCCTTTCGGCGAGTCCAGAACGTCCAGCGACGTGAGAACTGAGGTGTAACTGAGGCACGGAGTTTGATCGAGGTAAAATCCCGTGACAACCATGTGGGAACAGTTGGTCAGCCCAGTCAAAGCTCCAACCAGTTAAGCCAATAGCCCAACAAGTCCCTCTCCGTGGGGGTTTCTAGAGATTATTAGAGGAGATATCGGGATTAGGGAACAGACTCTCATGAGGCATCTTCGGTTTTTCCGGTTTGCAGGGGTCCCAACGGGATGTGCAGTTCTACTTACTATCTAGCCAGTGAGGCCGAAAAGGCGCAGAGCCGAGGGTGGACTTGAGCGCGGAAAAGCTCTGGTGACTCGTGACCTCGATAATTTTCGATCGACATGAACAGCCCCGAATCGACTAGGGCAATAACGCGCAAGATTAATTAATGACGCCGTTTTCAAGTCTTTCATGGACATTGGCTCACATGCTTGCTTTTTGAACGACCCGTTTATGCGTTCCATGCCGCGACGAGATCTTATCTCCGAGTGATGCCAAGTGCCTTCTTTCCCGATCAAATGATCACAATCGAGCGCGGAACGACAATTCTTGCTCATGTCCCAACTTGTGTTGCCATTCATGAATCATGACTGGGCGATGGGACAGACAGCTGTAATTGAATCATGACGAAACGTTACCGTGCATGTACCCGTTAACCTGGGATTCCCGCATCGGTCGAGGTATGCATGGTCGCAAGACAATCTTCCCCGATGGTGATTAAAATGAGCTGTGTGCTAACGCCAGGTCTGGAAGCCAGGAATCTTATATTCTGCTCGAGTCACTAAAATGCTCCAAGGCTTGTTTGTTTGTTTGTTTTATTCTGGATATTTAACCTGCAGAGCTTCAGGCTGCTCACAAGAGCGCCAAGGGCAGGGGTCTCGAGAAAAATACACGCAAATAAAGTAAAAATAACAGATAAGTCCGATCTGAGAACACTCGTCCTTCTTCGTCCGAATGAAACCCAAACCATATTCCCCTGGTGAGTCGTCACTTACAGATGTTCGGATATTGTGTTACGGGTGCCAAGATGGGAGGGGTTCCGCTTCACAAGCGGACGTTATCTCTCGGGTTTACTCCGTTGTCTCCTAAATAGTGTTTTTCTTTTCGTATGCCCCACTCTCATTTAAGAATTCTGCCACTCGCTTGATCCCCTCTTCCTTCCCCAGGAGGTCTGCAAGGTTCAGAATCCCGTCTTTGTCTCGTAGGACGTCTCGGTGGTCGGAGTACAGAGGGCATTCCATGAGGATGTGCTCTCGTGTCTCGATGGGTGTGCCGCAGCGGCAGCTTGGGTCTTCGCTAGGTAGGAATCGCTGGTAGTATTGGCCTAGGAAAGCATGTCCGGTGCGTAGTTGGACCAGGCGGCTGAAAGTTTTGCGGCTGAGAGTCCTAAAGTGTTTGGAAGGGGAGATTTGTGGCCCGATGCCATTGCAAAGGTAGTATTCTGAACGTCTGAATTGGACAGGGTCAGTATTCCAACGTTGGGTCCACTCAGTTTTAAGTCGACGTTTGTTAATGTTCCGCATGAATGCTGCCGATGATTCAAAAGGGTAGTCGGAGGGGAGGAGTGTACCTTCTTTCGCCAGTGAGTCGGCAAGGTCATTCCCTTTGATGTTTTCGTGTCCTGGTACCCATTTGATTTCAATTCGGCAGAGGGGACGTTCATCGAGTATCTTCAGAATGACTTCGCGGAAGCGTAGGGTTTGGTGGATGTCTAGCCCAGGAGAGGTTGCCAGAATACGTTGCAGTGCGCCAGTGTTGTCTGAGTAGAATGACAGTGATAGGTCGCTCTCCTTGGGGACGTTGTTGTCGAGCCAAGAGACGAGGAATTCTGAACCTTGCGCGAGACCCTCCATCTCTGCGTCGTAGACCTCTACCCTCGCTCCTGTCCCTCCTTTTCCCTTGAGAATAACGTTGCCGCATTGGTAGGCTGCGAACCCGTATCCCGATCTTCGGACACCCTGGTCAATCACAAGTGATCCGTCAGTATACAGATTAATGTGAGACTCATCCAAATTCCTTCTCTTTAGTTCCTTTTTATGCTCCTTCGCCCATAACTTCCTCGCGGATATGCCTGGTTCGTTTTCTGGCACTTCAACTCGGAGTCTGTCGTTCAGGTCGTCGATAGTCCTTGCCCATGGTGGTTCTGGCCATAAGGTTGTTGGTTCCATTTCTGAATCGATTTCTTTTGCCATTCTCCATATTTGAGTACAGTTTTTGTCTTTTTCTTTTCTTTCTTTTTGTTTTTGTCTGTTTTGGAATTTTCTTCTTTTCGGGTGAGGTATAGGGATTGGGGGGTTATTTGTGTCGGATGGGATGAATATTTGTTTGTCGGGGGGTAGGCGAGATAAGATTGGGTTGTCTGTGTCGAGTCTAGCGAAGCGGAGGGCTGAGCGTCGTACTATGTAGTCTAGGGTTAGGTCAATGGGGGGGATGCTACATTCAAGTTGCATTGCGTAGGTCGGAGATGTGTGGAAAGCACCCGAGATGAAACGGAGGGCGATGTTTTGAATGCGTGATAGCATATGTGTGTGCAACTTCTTATTACGCCACCACGTTGAGGCTCCATAAGTCAGCATGGGAATGATAGCGCCGAGATAGATTAGGCGCCTTTGGACCTGGTGCATGCCGCCGATAGAGTTTCCTAAGATGGTCAGAGCATTAGCTGCCTTTGCGGCTTTTGCACACACTTTCCGGACATGGGGTGTGAATGAGAGTTTCGAGTCCCAGGTGATGCCGAGCCATTTCATTTCTCTAGAGTGTTGAATTGTGAAGCTTTGGCGCGTGCCCCGTGTGGGGATGCGGAGGTCTAGGTGTGGTTGTTTGGAGCGTGTGAAATGAATGAGGCCGGTCTTTGCTGGGTCGAGTGAGAGGCCTCTGTCTTTAGTCCATTTTTCGGCAGCTAGGTAGGAGTATCGAGCAAGTTTAATGTTAGTTTCTATGGACTTGGAAATGATTAAGATGTTGCCATCGTCGACATAGAGAGTTGTGTTAGTTGGTTTAGGGGAGTGGGCGAGAATAGAGTTTTTGGTTCTGGAAGGGAGGTTGTGGGTTTTGGTGGCCGAGTTAATTGTTTCAATTAGAGGGGCTGAGAAGTAGGCAGCTAGAATAGGCGAGACACAACTTCCTTGAGGGATACCAGTGAGGGTGGGTCTCATCGCATCTTTGTGGCCATCTAGGATAAGAGCAGTACGTCGGTCGCTGAGAAACGAGGCCACCCATTTGACTATAGGGAGTGGGATGTTTTTGTTGCGTAGAGTATTGAGCAGGTGTGGGTGGGAGACGAAGTCGAAGAAGCCGGTGATATCAAAGGTGAGTGAAGTCGCTGTGAGTTTATGGTTGAGTGCAGCCTCGATGTCATGGACAGTGGAGAGTGTGGCATCTTCAGCTGATCTGCCTTTCATTCCTCCGAATTGTGTGACCGGTAAGAGTTCGTGTTGGCTAGCATAATATGAGAGACGGTTAGCAATGACTCTTTCGATAACCTTTCCTAGGACCTCCAGAAGCTGGATAGGTCTATAGGAGCGTGGTTGCGTGTAGTCTGGTTTGTTAGGTTTACGCAATGTGACCACCAGGGCATCGTGGAAGGATGCAGGGTGATAGCCGGTTTCGATGGCCGCTTGAACAATGGCTGTGAGTTCCCTCTCAGCAACACTCCAGGCCAGTTTGTATGCTATTCCGCATAGTTCGCTGGGTCCTGGGGCATTGTATGATGCTGCCTTGAACAGCGCACGTTTAACTTCGCCTTTTGTGACAGGATGCCACGTGATATCTGAGGATTTGTGTTCCAGGTTCACTATGGGAGGATTTAGTATGGTGGGAGGGCGGGGGAGAAGGTGCATGCGGAGGGTATGACATTTATCAGGGAATGAGGTGGCTGGGGGAGTGTTGTCGCCACGGGAGATGTGTGGAGTCAGGTAATTTCTGGATCCTGAGGCCCAGCGTACTAGTGGCCAGAAGTTAGAGTTATTAGTGTCTTTTGCGAGTTCAGCATAGAAAGTCCTTTTAGTTTTCCTGAAGAGTCTTTTGAAGGTGGCCCTAGCATGCTTCAGATTGTTTTGGGTGTGTTCTGAGATAGCACCCGTGAGCGATTTTTCAACACGTGATTCTTCTCTGGTGTTGACAATTTTCATCCTTGCTTCGGTGAGTTCAATGGTCCAGAAGGGTTTAGCATGGCGGTAGGGTTTTCTCCTGGGGCAGTGTTCTTCTGCTGCATCTAGAATGTAGTTCTGGAGTTTCCCTACTGCTGTGTCGATGTCTGATTGGCTGGGAGAAGAGGTGCGCCAGTTGAGAATAGGGGAGAAAGTGTTTCTATACTCTAGAGTGTTCGATCTGAGTTTGCTTTCGATAGAATTGACAAAGTCAATTTGTTTGAGTTTTCTCCACATGAACTTGTGAAAGTTAGGGGCCGAGGGTTGTGTGTCGCCGATTTTCAGACTGAAGATGCTGGCGAAGTGGTCGGAGCCGCAGTTATTAGATGAGTCAAGTGTCCAGTGGGCTAGGGTGTTGCGTTGAGTTGCCATCTCATTAGTAAATGTGAGGTCAAGTGCAGATTCAGAGTTGCCGTCATGAGAAACTCTAGTAGTTTGGTTCCAGTCATTGACTAAGTTGAGGCCATTCTCATGAGTCCATTCTGCTGTCCGTGTGTCGCGTTGGCTGGCATAGCGGTTGTTAGGCACAAGGTTAAAGTCTGGGTGGTGGGTGTTCCAGTCACCCGTCAGTATGGTTGGGATCAGTGGGTCAGGTGAGGTAGCGCAGAGTGTGTCGACTGAGTAGAGATCCGAGTCTGGGATGTGTTGGTTATAGATGTTATATATGCGGATTGTGTTGTTGTTATGGCAAGGGGAGATATCTAAGACCTGAATGTCGAGATGATCTATGATGTCTGTTCGGGGGGTGAGTATTAGTTCTGAGTTCTGGCGAAGGTATGCAAAGACTCTAGGTCTTTCTCCTTCTTTAATTGTTTTGGTTGTTGGTAAAATTGGGGTCCAGCCGGCGAGATTGCAGGAGATCCAAGTGTCATTGGGGCGTCCCCACCAGGGTTCTTGAATGAGTATAATGTCGAAAACGGTGTGGGGATGGGTGGATGCAACGTGAAGTGCCGAGGTATGGATAATTGGGGACCTGGCTACGTTAAGACTAAAAATGTTAATAAGGTGGGGTTTTCTGTTCATTGGGAGGTCCCCAGGTTGCTTGCTGCAGCGCTGGTGTCCATCTCAACATCTGTACCTTCTTGGGTTGCTGGGGGGGAGGGTTAGCGGGCTGGGTGGAGTCCGCTTTGTTGATGTTTCTCGAGTTTCGTCCCGGAACTTTGATCAGCAATTTTGGTGGTGGGATGCCGAGTTTTTTCCTGTAGACCATGCAGTTTCTGTCATTATATTCGTGGGG